AAGAGCTCGCTGACCTCCTCGACAACGCCCGGAGAACGATGCAAGCACCGAGGGCACTGTCCCTTGCACGCCTTTGGCCCCATATACGGCCAGCTATTTGCCGCGCTCATGTGGGTGAGGCTGATAGAGCAGTCCGGCACCAGCTCCATGAGCATTGCATGGGTAAGGATACCCGCCGCAACAGATCTGTGTCTGTTGGCCTTGCAAACTACGTGGACTGCAATGGACCTGATTCCCGCATCCTTGGCATCAAGGATGTTCGCCAGAATATGCCTGGCGTGCGCGATCAGGTTCGGATGCTCGGCATTCTCCCGAATTATATCGGGGTTCGACCCAACATGCTTTGTGCGGTCCCTCTGTTCATCGCTGGCACGTTGGGCTTCGGCGGGCGTCATGCCATCCCGCCTATCGTCCTTTAGCCACACCATGTCCAACATCACTAGCATATAGCTAGTGGCAGATGCATGCGTCGTTATGGCGTATGTCTCCATCTCTTCGTGCTGTGCGAAGAGCTCATCAGCGATCCACCTGCCCCTGACACGCTGCAACCAGGCATGGTGGTCGAAACCCCATGTGAAGACATCAATGATGATGTCCGGGTTCGCTGTATCCCCCGCATAGTGTGGCTGCAGCTTCAAATCCGGATTATACACGGATGCAGGCAACGGCGTGTCCAGCTCGGGGCCGTGCGGTCCAGCACCTGGCATTATAACCAGGGGTCGCCCATGCGGGTCTCGCTTCACTACCGCATCGAAGGCGGCCAAGTCGCGGTGGCCTTGGGCGATAGTCTTCGGGTGCACTGTGGCACGAGCAGCGGGAATCCCCGGGTTATACCCGGGTGGTGGCCCCTTCGGCGCGGTCGCCGACACATAGCCGGGCGGCGCCTTCGGCTGGGGCACAGGATCGGGAGCGGCATTATAGCCGCCCGAGGGTGCTTTCGCCATGGCACTGTGGCCAGGCGCCGGCGCTGCAGGTGCCTTCGGTGCAGCCTTCGCCGTGGGAGGCGCCTTCTTAGGCAGCTGCCCCTCTGCTGCGGCCATCGCGGTGGGCTCCGTGTCTCCTACGGACGTGCCTACCATACAATGATTCGGAAACGCTACGCTTATACGTCGCTTAGTGTTGTTGCGATTCTCAGCTGACGTTGTGAAGCTGTGACCGTGGCCTACGCCTACAGTGCTGTGACCATGGCCTGCACCTACAGTACTGTGACTGCGACTTGTTGCCGCTGCATCATCTGTCGCTGCTGCATCTCCGGGGGGTCCGCTCACAGGTCCTGAGTGAGCTAACGTGGCAGCGGCGGCAGACCTAAACATAGGAACTGGCGGCGAGGGAATCTGGAAACCCTTTATGAGGCGTGGTTGCTTAACCTGAATCAAGCCTTCTGTTATGTTTATGCACAACAGCCCTGAGTCATGTGTCCGACACAACTTGATCTTGATGATAGTGTCCTCCGAAGGAAGCCGAACACCACACACGCCAAACCGTAGATCTTTGGTTATACCAAGCTGGGCCTGCGCATAAAGGGACAAGAGAAGAGGGGCGGTACCCTTAATCTCATGCGAATCAAGGACGCCTGGAACTCTCAAGTCCTGCTCCAATCCCATTATAGAGAAAGGTATGGTCCGGCTACCCAAAGTCTCGGTAGCGCCGCTAAGACCCTTGAAGGTACGGTTCCCTTCAGGCTTAAACCTCGTGCTGTAACCGAAGTTCGCAAGTTTCCCCGCCGCGTTTGCTATCCAATCGCTACCGTGAACAGTCGAGTTACATCCCTCATCTAACACGGCGTATACATGCTCGTCCTCGTAGATGTTTACTACGGGCAAATCAACCAAAGCCGGATGGATATCTGTGACCCCCTCGGTAAAAGCCACGAAGGCGTGCCTCGTCGCGGAGGCCCTCGAAGAGCGCGACCTCGCCGACGCCACTTCCCAACTGTTGTTGGTCGATGGCGCTGAGTGGTCATCTAAGGCCTCTTGCAGGTATGCGAGAAGGTCACCGCGAGATATCACGGGCTCGGTTACAAAGTGACCCTCTACGGTCTCTTGAAACTGGGCAATAGCCGGAACTACTACCTCTACGGGGAGGCTATCCCCCGTGCTGCCGACTATGCTGCGCAGGAGATCGAAGTCCAGAGTGTTGGACTCCCGCAGCACTGTGGCTGCGTCATCCCTAGCCTTTCGCTCGGTCTGCGGCTGCTCATCTAGAAGCATCCCACAAAGCTTGCACTTAACGCGGGAAGTCTTCCTGCTACTACCCGACCTCTCTGTGGAGGTGTGTGGGCATGTGGCCTGGTCTATGGCAGGCTTTTCTTTCTTCGTCTTTGTAACTGTGCCGCATTTCTTGCAAGTCCGCATGTCTATGTATGCGTTGCTTCCCGACTTATTGAACTCCTTGCACCCTCCCCGGCATTTCCGGGGGCCTTCGCTGGACGAAGCAGCTGAGGCGGCGAGGCGAACCTCGGGCTGAAAGGGTTCAGGCGGGGGTTCCTGACTGAGAGGAACATCTCTTCTCGTAATACTGATGGGGGTATCATCACGCACATCAAAGTACTCTGTGGTCCAATTCAGGAAGTCAGCCAACCCTATGGATGGGCACTTCTGCGTGCGTCCCCAAAGGATATACCCGGGGTATGTGTAGAGAACTCGCTCATACGTCAACCCCTTATGCTGGCCGAAAGAGAAAACGCGATCAGAACCCGGAGGGGGACTATCACGCATGATCCCTGCGGCGGCTGTGCGCCGAAGCTGTGGTGAGAAGAGGGTTTCACTGCCGCGGCCTTTACCGGTATTGGTCTTTGAGGGAGTCAGCTCAAGGTTGGCTGGGTAACCCTCGAGCCTACCAGCGCTCGCATTCGACAGATGGACACACTCTGTGTCATCCTCCTCCACTGCGGCGAAATACGCCTGAGGCTTCGGCGCCGCCGACTTTGCGGCTGCATTGGCAGTTCCCCCAGACTGTGCTGGGGTTGCAGTTCCCTTGGGGCCATTGCCCTTACCGCTAAACTTGCAGGCAGCATCTCCGGCCCAATGGCCAATCACACCGCACTTCAAGCACCTACTCTTAGCCTTAAGCTCTGCAAGCTTAGCCTTGCGGTCAGCAATAGTCAAGTTACTACGCACGACCTTCCCGCCGGATTTCCCGGTGGGCTTGCCCTTGTTCTTCCCCTTTCCTTTTCCTTTTGCCTGGGCAAAAGCGGTCTGTGCCGCGTATGCAAGCTGAACTGACTCGGCGTAGGAATCGTCCAAGTCATCAACCTCAGCTTCGTATGCCACCGCCGTGTAGGCGTTGAGTTGCAATGCTAGATCCTCATCATCAATCCATTCATCCGCATCACCTCCCCCAGACGCTGTGGCCTGGTACGCTTCATCACCGTAGCCGTCACCGTAGCCTTCCGCGGATTCGTGCTGTTCCTGGTGATCATACTCTACGGCACTGCCGTCATATCCCATATAACCGAACTTAGGATATTGGTGCTTAGCGTCAAAACGTCTCCAGGTCCTACCTGGGCCACTAGGGTCCTTCTGGGTCAGAAGACGTTCCTTCATATGCACCACTGAGTGATGCTGAACAAGGACGCGTGCGTACTCATCCACACTGTGCATGCGGGCAGCGGTCTTGACCATTAGCTGTTCGGACCTATCCAACCCCGAAAGCTCAACAAGGAGGTTAGCTCTCATTGTCTCGGAAAGACGGATATCAGGGTCCAGCTCTCGCAAGGTCGACCACCACCTCTTTCGGCGGGCTATGTAAGACAACATAGGCTCGCCAGGCTGTTTTGCAAGTGGGCCCGTCAGGAGCTGTCCCTGACGGAAAAGTTCGGACGCCTCTTCGGATTGAAGAGGGAAGGCTTGCCTCCTGATTTCCTCTATCAGGTAGTCAATGCCGTCATGCCGGAGCAAACGTTCCAAACCGACGTCGCGTGCAATGCAGAAGGCATCCCCTCGGAGACCTTCCAAAATCTTGCTGACGCACTCGCTCATGTCGAGCGATTCGTCTTTGACGTCTTGCAACGTGTACACCGCCGGATCTGTGTCCGGCTCTTGCTCATCGTCGCCCGTCACCTGACTGGGGTGTGACGGTGTCGACTCCGCATCCTCATCTTCTGCCTCGGACGCGGGCTTAGTCCGCCTTGCACTGGACGGACTAGCGGGTATACCGCTGCTCGCATCACCCTCGGTGGGGTGTGCACTGGTCGCTTGACTGGCTCTGCCGCGCCACTTCCTTGGTGATTCGCTTTTGGACTTTGCCGATTCTGCAAAACGCAAGTCCTTCAAAGCTTCACGCCGCTGCTTTTCCTTATGCTGCAGCACGCGGATCTGTGTCCGGAAGCACCAATCGTGGAACCCAGCAGCTGACCCGTCGTATATGTACGAGCCGCTTTTGGTCTCGGCAGGGCTCAGGTTCTGTGACCAGAGATTGGGCTGGTAACGCAATCCTGCCACGCTCATGGCTTCGAGGATAGAAGGGGCCTTTGCGCCGCGACTATCTCTACTCTACCCAACGGACCCCGGACCTCAGGCTCAACGGGGGTGAAACACTAGTGGTTGTCCTCACAGCTCCGCTACCAGTTTGAAGCAGGAACTGGATTAGTGAGTGTCCAACCACACAACGAGCGCACTTTTTGGTCTGAGCCCAAGACGTCTGTCATACAGGGTGCGTCCAGAACTAAACGTGAAAATCTACGCTCGCATGAGGACATGTCAACACGGCCCTTCAAGACAGGGAAATTTCACAACCCTAAACCCTAAACCCTACAAAACCCTAAACCCTACAAAACCCAAAACCCTCAAGTGCCCGGCCCCAGGCCCTAGGCCCTAAACCCTAAAACCCGAGGCTCTAAACCCTAAAGCCCAAACCTTAGGCCCTAAACCCTAAACCCAAACCCTCGGCCAGAGTGTAGGGTTTCTATATTAGGAATTACTATTATGATTTGGGGAAGTGTCCCCCATAACAGTGCTTTGGACCCTTTGGGAAACCCTCAAGTGCCCGGCCCCAGGCGCCTGCACCGCCACCTTTGGCCCGGCTCGCCGGCGGCTCGGGAACCTCGGATGGTAACACAAGTGCCTTACCCCAAGGGTCCAAAGGACCCAATCATTAGGGTTCCTTTGAAGGGTTCTACAAGATTCCTCTAAAAGGGGTATTATTTGGGTTTTATTATATGGGCCTTAATAATTAGGTACTCGGTTTTCGGATAGTAATTATGTAGGTTATGATTTTGGAGAGTACACGATTATTACATACTTGGACCCTTGGGGTTACAAGCCTCTATAGGGTTTAGCGTTTTTTGGGGCTCCTTTAAAGGCATCTATAAGGGTTCCTTTGATTTAAGGGATCTATCGTAGGGTTTAGGGTGTTTTCAGGGTTTAGGGTTTTAGAGTTTAGGGTTTAGGATTTACAGTTAGGTGTTTTAGTCTTATAGCGTGTTTAAAAGGGACGGAATGAGTAGAATGCGTGTTTATCACGTTGTTGTAAGGTTTCTTGCAGGGTTTTGCGGGGCTTAGCAAGGTGCAAAAAGGTGCAAGAACTTTTAATGATACGTGCCTTTCATGACTAGAATGGGGTCTCGGGGTACACGATACACATATAGTTGCATTCGAAATTGTACGGGGTTAGGATAGTGTTACTGGCTGTTCCGACGGCGGATTTTCTAGCATTGATCGTATAAGGAAGTTGCGAAGAGCCAGGTCCTAAATGGCTATTGAAGAACTTACATGTGGTTAGTAGGGAATGGAAGAATGGTAGTAATCGTAGTTATATATAATTGAACCCCATTCCTCCATTCCCTACTAACCAAAGGTAAGAGAATAGAACAGAAGCGTTTCACAGCTGCAATACAGAGGTCTTTGTCAAGCTTGTGTAGGGTCGTGAAGGGATGTTTGAGGGTTTATTTTTGAAAGCTTTCCCAATGCGGTCTTCATTTTACGGAGTAGGCTCTTACAAGGTAGCCATAAGTTGTTGACAGGGCTTAAAGTTTGCAAGGTGCTTACCAAGGGAGGTATAATGGGTGGTTACACAAGCCTTCATGAAGTCTTGTCGATCTGGGAGCTGTTCTCGACATTAAAAGTTCCTCATGTAACGGTTTTCATAGTACGGTCTTTGTACTTACGTCCGTACCGGGGCCACTTGGCGGAAACGTGTAACAAGCATCCACTTGGTGCAAATCCCACAGCCCGGGTCATCTTTTGTTCGAATTTCAATTCCTATCTGTTTGCTACCTGCTACCTCATCTCCCTCTGTTTCAGTGCCTACTTGCTAAAACACCCGATCCTTCGCATTCTGATGGACTCCGGTTTCCGCCATCAGCACGAGTTGGTCATGAGCGTGGCCTCTTGGGGATGCTACCACCAGAGAAGCAGTGTCGCCGCTTGCTGCTTGAGTCCTTGTCGAAGCCAGCCGCCTGCAACAACCGCGCGATTTCAACGTGGCCGTTGAGAGATGCATGCCTCAGGGCTTTGAAACCGTCGGCGAAGTTCCTATCGGCGCCGGCCAGGAGCAAACGCACGACTTCAATGTGGCCATGAACAGATCCCAGCATCAGGGCAGTAAACCCGACATCGTAGGCCAAGTTCCTGTCGGCACCGGCCTCCAGCAGCAAACGGACGACTTCAATGTGGCCGCTGGCAGATGCCCACATCAGGGCAGTGAGCCCCTTGTTGTCGGCCAAGTGGGCCAAGTTCTTGTCGGCACCGGCCTCCAGCAGCAAACGGACGACTTCAACCGTGCCGTTCTCAGATGCCATCATTAAGGCAGTGAAGCCGTTATTGTCAGCCAAGTTCTTGTCGGCACCGGCCTCCAGCAGCAAACGGACGACTTCAATGTGGCCGCAGTCAGATGCCCACATCAGGGCAGTGAACCCGCTGTTCTCGGCTATGTTCTTGTCGGCACCGGCCTCCAGCAGTAAACGGACGACTTCAATGTGGCCGCTGGCAGATGCCAGCATTAAGGCAGTGAAGCCGTCATTGTCCGCCAAGTTCTTGTCGGCACCGGCCTCCAGCAGCAAACACACGACTTCAGTGTGGCCGAATGCAGATGCCAGCATGACTGGACGTCTGCCACGGTCGCCGAGCATATCTGGGTGCCGAGGCTGCTGCAAAATGGCCTCAACCTGCTTGCTGGCTCTGAGTCTAGGGCCCAAGGTTGTAAGCGCTTAGGTTTTATGTGCTTATGGCGTAGGGCTTGGCTTTGCCAATACCAGCCTCGGAAACGGAGCCGTTGTGAAAGGAGGTCGCCAGCTCTTCCGCTTGCATCTGCGAGGTCGCGGAATATGGAAGCAAGACCAACTGCAGTTCCAGGATCGAGTCCAAAGGGGCAGAATCGTCTATTGGATTGCCGCGATGAAACAGTCGTTGCCTGAATCGCGGGGGCAGGCCATGCTTGCGATGAAGTTCTTGCTTTATTGTCTTTGCATCGCTCAGCTCCTGCACATTCATGCTCGTCACCTCTTCCGCTGACAGCATCCAGCTGATGCGCAGCATTTGGGTGAAACACAGAGATCTGCAGGGTTCAGGGATGAAGGGCTTGACAACGTGCCAGCTCTACTGTATAGCGTCCTAAACCTTACCTAGGCTTCAAAGCGTACATACTCGCACAATGTGGCATGATACTAATTTGCTCTGAAGCTATGGCTCGCGCATGCAGTAAATAAGGGTCGTTAATCGCACGGACTTCGAGCTGAAACGTGTCGTGCAAAATCTCTCGGGGCGAGGGGGAATTCTGCCCAAAAGCACACTCTCACAATCCCAGCTCCAGGAATCCTATTGCAGCCCGGAACCATGCAGCCCAAGACTCAAGAAATCTAAATCTATGACAGGCAACCGCACTCAACCCTAAACTCTACCTTAATAGCCTACAGCCCTGAACCCTGAACCCCTGAAATTTCATCCGTAGATCCTCAAACCGTAAGGACCAAGTGACCCTCAATAGTAGGGGCCCTATACCCTTATTCTATGCATCCCTCTTTTCGTCCTCAAGGTAAGACGAGGCACACCTTGCGCAGGCCACGAAGGACCACCTTTAGCGTTCAGGGATTATGGTTGAGAGTGTGGGGTTCGTGGGGCATAAGGTTTAGGGTTTAGGATTCAGGGATGAAGGTCGAAGCTTTGAGGATTAGGGTTTAGGCTTGAGGGATTATGCTTGAGAGGGTTGGGCTTCGGGTTGAGGCTCTAGGGCTAGTTTGGGGTTCCGGAATCAAGGATGATTACTCCGTGGGGTTAAGCGTGTGAGGTTGGTCCATTTGAGGCTAGGGGTTCGGGTTTAGCGGCTTCTCTCTCCATTCATGGTTGCATCAGGACTTGACAAAGCAGGTGCTTTGGTGTAGGATATCAGTACTTGCGAGTGAACGTTTATGTACGAAGTGTATGAGACTATTTCGACCTCTTCAGAATTCAACGCTGCTGCTTGTCAAAATTATGGCCCCTTTGGGGGTCCTTAGTATATTACGGCACCTGGAATTAAGGGTACCCCAAAACGGACCCCTATTTGGACAACTACCCCTGTAGCTCTGCCCTTCGGTGGTCTAGGGAGACAGATTGTTCCCAACAGGGCTCTTGAGAGCGCGCAGGTTGCGGGCTGTGAGAGCCGTGCCCACAACCCTAAGCTCTAAACCTAGGCCCGAACCCAGACCTTCCAAAATCCCTTAATTAAGGAATACACCTCAACTCATATTAGGGATTCTACTCTAATTTAGGGAATAATCCTTGATTGAGGGATTTTGTGGAAGATCTGGGAACACCAAACCCCGAGCCCCACGTCCTAAACCAAAAAACGCAACAAACCGTTACAATACCTAAACCCTAACTACACCCTACAAGCCTACATCCATGGAGCTAGCTACAACCACAACAAAACTTATAAAGCCTCAACCCTGAAGCATCAAAAGCATAAAACCATTAAGCCCTGAACCCTGAAATCCCTAAGCCCAAACGCCCTAAAAAGCTCAAATCCATGAAGCCCTTACCCATAGGCTCCATAGTAGTTCCTTTATGGGATTACCTTGTAGGATTGGAAAAATGTGAATCCCCAAAGGGAACTACTATGGAGCCTATGGGTAAGCCCCAAAATCCTGTATCTGTGGCGCGAGGGGCCATTTCACCGTCGGCCCCTCCGCTCAGGACCCGCTCCTGCGCACATCGAAGCTTGGAGCTTCAGGCGTTTAGGGGTTCAGGGTTTAGGGTTAAGGGATTAGGGTTTAGGGGTTGAGGGTTAAGGGTCTAGGGTTTAGGGTTTAGGGTTTAGGGGTTTACGGTTTACTGGATTCTTGTTAATTAAGGACTTTAATTTCGGTTACCAAAATAGGGATCTATAGTAAGTATTATGGTTTCTGTATTAAGGTAATTTAACTGAACCCTTTTGCAAGAACCGAATGTAGGGGTTTCAGGGTGCGTGGTCCGGCTGAAGGCCGTTGGGACAATCATACTATAGTTATCAGAAGGAACCCCAAATCCCGAAGGGTCCAAAGTACCCTTTATAGTGGAATGTAGGGTTTCTATATTAGGAATTACTACTATGATTTGGGAAAGTATCCCCCATAACAGTACTTTGGACCCTTTGGGAATGCCAATTCTAATTATGAAGGCCCCTATATACTTCCCGTATGAAGGGTTCATAGTACGTAAGGGGATCCTACTCTTAAAAGCCAATGGGGCCTTGAGGGGAATAGGATCCTATTTCGGGCCCCCGGACCATACTCCGCCACTACATTCGTCTGCTAACAGCACGAGAGACCAGCATTGCGATTATGAGTATGGGAACCTGATGAAGACACCTTGAGTCCTAATTAGGCTTCAGTATTTGGATCCTAATACTTTGGGGTTATAGTACCAAGGTTTCTTAATCAAACCAGAGCAGGAGAATAAGCACAAGTATACCGACCACTGACTCATGCCTGAAACAATTTAATGCATGGGCGCCCAGTCCTTTTCAAGCTGCACGGCGTTTTCCAGCGGCGTATCATCTGCAGGATGTTGGTTCAGGGTTTAAGGGTGTTAGACGGTGGAACCATATAAAACCCGTAAACCTACACTTAAACTCTGAACAATGCATGTCGGATCATGCATCCCTACAAGGGGCTGGAATCCTGTCACGCCTTCCGCGCACGCACCCAGCGACCTCTTCTAAGTGGCTATGAACCGATTGCTCCTTCAGCTGCTCTCGAATGTTAATAATTAGAATAAGGTTGTGGGCTCCTTTATAGTATAGTTAGAATCAGGAACACTGAGGAGTAACATTAGCCATTCATTGGGTTTCTATGGTCCCCAGGGGTCTACCTTAAACTAAGGGAGGATCCTTACGTGATTTACGACATGTTCCTGAATCAAGGAATAAGATCCCTATTGTGACTTAAGGCACATTCCTGCATCCCGAGCCTGAAGACGGACTTCAGAACTACACATGGCCATCAAAAACCGACTGCCTCGCGGTGCATCCACATGCCAGAGCCTTTTCCACAGCTCAAACTAGCAGGGTTTAGGGATTAGGGTTTCCATCGAGGTTAGGGAATAGGGTTTCGGGTTTAGGGATTAGGGTTTCCGTCTGGGCTAGGGATGAGGGTTTCGGGTTTAGGGTGTGGTAAAAGGATCCGAAGTCCGGATTTATCCAGTATCGTGGGTCTACCTGGAGGCTTTTTCCCTTTTACACCCTACACACCCCTAAACCCTAAACCCCTGAACCCTAAACCCCCTAAAACCCTAAAACCCTTAAACCCTAAAACCCCTAAAACCCCTAAACTCCTAAAGTTGCATAGAGGCCAGTATGCCATCTTCGGGTCAGAGCTCCATGGTAGTTCCTTTTTTGTGCTTTAACCAAATAGGGGTTTCCGAGAAAGGGATCCTTCAAGGGTTCCTTAAAGGGATCTATAGGGCTTCTATGAAGGGTTTTACGGCTTAGAGTTTCCGAAAATAGGGGTACCAAATTTTTGGGGTCCTTATAATAAGGGTCCTATTGTTTAGGGTACCATATTAGGCTCCCCTATTTTCGGAAAGTCCCAAATAGATAATTCGGATCCTATAAGGTAACCCCAAAGAGGAACTACAATGGAGACTCTAGGTGCTCCATGGTACCATAGGGAGGGGTGTAGGGACTATATTTCCTTAAATAGGCCTTATTAGCCCTTATTATGGGCCTTAAGGCCCCCTACCCCCCCTCCCCCTACACCCCTAAGGATCCCTATGAGGTGGTCCATGGTAGGGGCTCATCCTTGAGACCCCAAACCTTTAACAAGCCTGCCCTTGAGGGCTTCTTGGGGGGTTTAGAGGTTTAGGGTTTCAGGGTTTAGGGGGTTTAGGGCTTTAGGCTTTAGGGTTTAGGGGGTTTTAGGGTTTTGGGGTTAAGGGTTTTAGGGCTTAGGGGTTTTAGGGTTTAAGGGTTTTAGGGTTTTAGGGTTTAGGGTTTAGCGGGGTTTCAAGGTTTAGGGGTTAGGGTTTTTGAGTTTTCTGCAGGGCCCTTGATCAATAAATAGAGTAGGGCTTGTGGGAGAAGCGGGGTCTACATAGAGAGCCCAATAATCAATACCCTTTGATTAAGGACTATACCCTAGAATATAAGGGGCTACACATTATGATTGAAGCCATATTCCTTCATTAAAGGGGGGATTACAAGTGGTCCGACAAGTGGCTCTTTAAGGGTGTCGCCTGGGGAGGACGTTTCCTCAACGATCTTAGCGATGCGGATCGGCTCCACTAACCCTGTAACATACCTTTTGCGGGGGGTTTCATTGTTCGGAGTTGGATCCTGGTCGGGGTTCAGATACTATGCCCTAAACTCTAAAGCCTTAATTTATCCTACACCCTACACCCTAAACCCTAAACCCTCAGCCCTAAACCCTAAACCCTAAGCCGAAGCCCATAGGTGCCTGAAATCCTAGGCCCCGAGCCCTTCTAGAACCCCCTATCAGGACGCCGTCCTAAGAACCCTCCGAAAATTCCAAGCCCCAAACCCCTAAACCCCAAAACCCTAAACACATAAACCTCCCAGAACGAACCCTAAACCCTAAACCCTAAACCCTAAACCTTAAAGCACAATAGGTCCGACAGATCCGGGCCACTCAAGGGCTGATCTAAGCTTCGGCGTGGCAAACGCAAGCTCCTCACGGGCGCGGGGTTTTTCAAGGGTTGCTCAAAAGGTTTGGGTCCAGGGCTGAAGGTCTTCGGGCCTAGGAATGGGGGCGTCTGGGGATTCTTTAGTGCGGAGCTGATTAAGGGGAGCTTTTGTTAATTTGGTGGTCCCCAAAATCGCCTGGCGCCCTTGCGAAGAGGACCAAAAAACGGACCCTACGATGGAGAGCTACCCAAATTATGGTTCAGGATCTACAAGACTTGACTATGTTACGGGTCTATAACCCTAAACCCTATACCACATGGAATTCCGGAAGGTTCCCTTACTATTCCATTTATCCTGCATAATCTTAATCACATGGGCTATATAGTTCCTTTCTTAACAATAAGTTCTATTTTAATTGATAGGTGTTTAATCTTATTTTTTTATTGGAGTTTTTTCCTAAACCCTAAACCCGATAGAGTTCCGGAAGAGTCCCCTTGGAGCCTCGACCAGGGGGATCCTCTCGCACACGTGGCACACAGCAGTCTCGCCCCAAGGAGCTCCGCTGCTCTTGAAAGTAGGTGGTTCTAATTTGATATAAATACAATTCGGAACGTTATGTTCTTGAGGGAAGGTGGTTCTGATATGATTAATATTGAAATAAAGCATTGGAATCATTACTTTTTGCAGCAATATGCTTGTTTCATTTATGACTGTGATAGGGATGTGATTGCGACATTCGGGCCAAGGCTGTTCACGACTCAGCTTCAACTCTAACACACTAGGATGCCCAGTAACCTAGGAATAAAACGGGCTCCCGTTTTGGTATTCGGTAACCTAGGTCTACAAAAAGGGAATAAGGGTAGTACCGGGCATCCTAGTAAAGGAGCCTGCATCGTTGGAATAGGGTAGGATGGGATGGGATAGGAGGGTTTAGGGTTTAGGGTTTAGGGTTTAGGGTAGGATATAGTAACTGGCAACTATTCCGACGGCTTTCTTACTCCCTGAACAGCTAAACTCTCAACCCTAAACCCCTATACCCCCAAACCCCGAAAACCCTTTACTCCGAAACCCCAAACCCTAAAATTCCCAAACGCCCTACAAACCTAAACCACTAGACCCTTAACCCCACCCTAAAACCCTAAAATCCTAAAACCCTAAAGCCCGAACCCCTTAAATCCTTGAACCCGATGGCAAAACCCTAAACCCTAAGACCTCAACAGACCCTAAACCCCAAGCCCTGCCCTAAAACCCTCAATCCTATTGTAGATCCCTTAGAGGGACCTCCATAGATCCCTTTAAAGGAACCCTAATAACCCCTAAAAGAGCACCCCTAAGCCCCGCTGTAGATACGACGGGTCCAGGAGCAAAGCCGCCCCGAACCAGACGAGGCTGCCAACGCCCATGTAGAGCATGTCGTAGCCTTTTTGGGCATTTTAGGGCTCCTTTAAATGGACCGGATTCCTACAAAGGGGATCTATAAGGGTATAGGGTTTACGGGTAGAGCATGTCGTCGCCTTTTTGTGGGGTTTCTAAAGGGGGATTTTAAGGCTCCTTTAACGGGTCCTTTAAGGGGGCCTAGGGTCGTAGCCGTTTCGGTGCCTCAGGCGATTTTAAGGTTCCTTTAACGGAGCACGTCGTAGCCTTTTCGGGGATTAGGGGTTCAGGAGTGTTTAGGAGTGTTTAGGAGTTTAGGAGTTTAGGGGTTTAGGGGGTTTAGGGGGTTTAGATGGGTTAAAGGCTTCGGGGTTTAGAGGTTTAAGGTTGGCTTAAGGGTGTCTCAGGGGCTTCCGGAAAGCTGGGGGCGTGGAGGCGAAGGGCCTCGTACAAGTCAGGCGACAGCTTGGAGGATCATGGGACTTAGGAAGTAAGTGTTCCATAAAGGGCTCCTTGAAGAGATCTTTAGGGTTTAGGGCTTAGGGTCTACCTGGACGATCATGGGACTTTAGCAGGTAAGGTTATGATTACGCTAATTGGAGTTATACGTACTTGACACTAGAGTTACATGACCTAATCAATTGACCCTCGTTAAAAAGAGTCCCATGATCCTCCAAGCACCAGCGGCTCTTCGTTACTCATGGCACGTAATTAGGTCGAAAACAATTTGTTTCTGCTCTCGCTGCCAATCATGTCACCTTTTCTCCTGCATATGGAAAATAGGGCATTTCTAGTCTTGGAAACAGATCAGTTTGAGCCAAGCCCCGAAAGCGAGACGACTCTCAAGCTCTATAGGCACCAACAACAAGCAGAAGGTTAAAACCAGAAAGCCCTCGACCGCTTCGACTATGTCACACATGTGCCACAGCATGTGCTGAAACCGCGCCGAAGTCCTAAACTAAACAATTGTTTGCCTCGACCTGGAAGCCCGTCACACAAAACACTTGCCCAACATTGCCAACCCCAACTCCCCCGAATCTCAAACCTAAAAAGACCCTAAACACCCTAATTTAGAAGCCCTGAAGCAAAACCCCTCCAACCCTGAACCCGAAATCCTACACCCGTAAACCCTAAACTCTAAACCCCTAAACTCTAAACCCTCCCTCTAGTCCGGGCCACCTGTGATCACGAGGTCGTATGGCTGGCAGCCCTGGAAAGGGCAACCTTTGGACAGCCTCTCAAAGGATGATCGTCATGATGGGTAGGGTTCAGGGTTTTAGGGTTTTGGGGTTTTGGGGTTTAGGGTTTAGGATTTCAGGGCTTAGGGTTTAGGATTTTAGGAGTTTAGGGTTTAGGGTTTACGGGATGATCACGGGCACCATGGTCATGACGGCAGCAACAGCACACTGACATTATACTCCCAGTCGCCGCCGCTACAAATCAATAAGACTGTCTGGTTCTTAGTAGGGAATGGGGGAACGGATCCCTAAAGGATCTATGGTAGTGCCTGTATACTGGGCTTTGAAGTAACCAGGGAGAAAAAAGTATAAACTTTTATTTCATAATGGTTCCATTAAGAGAAACGTACTAAAGTATGGTACTCCAAAGCCCAGTATATAATTCGCAAGATAGTGTCTCCATAATCCATTCCCCACTCCCGACTAAGAACCAGGGAAAAATGCTGGTAATTGTCGTGGTCACTGTCGAAACTAAACCCTAAACCCTAATCCATCAACCCTAAACCCTCAACCCTTGTCACTGTGGCAGGAGCAGCAGCAGAAAAACCACAGCAAGACAAAGCCAGGAAGCCAAAGGCCCGGGTTCTCCCGGGTGATCCTGCAGTGCAGTTCTTCAGGACTTTGGCTTTGGGGCCTGTGGGGCTTTACTTAGAGGATATAAGTCCCCTAAGTGGGGTTATCCTAACCTTACTTACTAAGTCCCATGAGCGAACGCTCAGGGCTTTGCGATTCGGAGTTCGCTTTTGGGGGTTTTGGGTTTGGGGCTTTGGGGTGCGTGGTTCGGTTTTGAGGGTTTTGATATAAATCCTGCATTACCCATAATAAGGAATATACCATAATTCCCATATACTCCTTATTATGGGTAATGCAGGATTTATATCATCAACCGTTGCGGCTTAGGGTATGTAATTAGGGCTTACAGGGGCCTGAAAGTGACGTAGTCTTGGCATGTCTAAGGACCTAAACCCAAAGAGCCCTGTCCCCAAAACCTTTGCCCACTTTGCCCTCAACCCCAACGTCTCAGCCGCAAACCTAAAACCCCAAACCTCTTAACCCCAAACTCTACCTTAACCCCACGTAACCTACCTTTTCAAGGACTTATATAAAGAAATCATATTGGGGAACCCTAAAAAGGTAGGCTCCTTAGGGTCCAGGTACGCCCCGAGTGCGAGACTGAGACCCACATCCTGACCGCTGACCGAAAAACATGAAACGCGAAATTAAACCCGAAACAACACCCCTGAAATTCAATACCGAACCCGAAACTCGAAGCCTGACTGAACCCCTATACACCCCAAGCCCTGAAAACCTACTTCCTGAACCCTGATCCCTCAGCCCCAAACCCTAGTATAGAAGCCCAAATCATTACCAATACTATTCTAGGGGTGCTTTAATAATATATTCATAGTAGAATATTCCGCAAAGCCTATAGAAATTATTCAGGCCCCTACAGCAAACCCTAAACCCTAAAGCCTGAGCCCTAAAGCCTCCTGAACCCCTGTTATAGGTCCCTTAAATTGAAAGGAACCCTTGTAGACCCCTTTATAAAGAAACCCTTATAGATCCCTGTAAAGGAACCCTTATAGATCCTAAATCCGCAACCTGAGCACCCCCTCCGATCTCCGTGGTGCCCAGAGAGCCCAATACCCCTTAATTAAGGAATATAGCTTCAATCATAATATGATGCCCCTTATAGTTTAAGGTAGATAAGGACACTCAAAATTAAGTAATGGGCTGAAGTACGCAAATAAAGGTGAGTTGAAATACTGAAATTATTTTCAAGACATTTATCCTAAACCCTAAACCCTAAACCCTAAACCCGTTTTGGGCTCTCTTTTGGTGGGACTTTCTGAGGCGCGCGGCAAGTTCGTGAGCGAGTCGGCAAGGCAGTAGTTCGGCAGCCTCGAAGGATCCGTAAAGGGTTCCCTTATTAGGGTTTAGGGTTTAGGGTTTAGGGTTTAGGGTTTAGGGTCCCTTAATGAGCCTTCTTCATAATTCCTATACTAGTTTGGGGGTTCCTTATTGTTATAACTAGTGACTAGAATATAATGGGCTCCTTACAAAAGGATCTATAGGGCTTGCAGGGTTTAGGCTTTAGGGATTAAGAGTTGTTTAGTAGTTCGGAAGCCTCGGAAAAACGATACCAAAAGCGATAAATAGTTTGGGGTTTAGGAGTTGTTTAGCATTGATACCTAAGTTTGGGGTTTAGGGGGATGTTTGTCTTTAGTGAGTAGTTCGGCAGCCTCGGATTTTTCGGCCGGGAGCCCCTTTCGAAGGTAGAGAGGGTTTAGGGTTGGGGGTTTAGGGGTTCAGGGGGTTAGGGATTTAGGGCTTAGGGTTTAGGGGTTCAGGGGTTTAGGGATTCAGGGCTTGGGGGTTTAGGGTTTAGGGGTTTAGGGGTTTAGGGATTTAGGGCTTAGGGTTTAGGGTTTAGGGGTTCAGGGGTTCAGGGGTTTAGGGATTTAGGGCTTAGGGTTTAGGGTTTAGGGGTTCAGGGGTTCAGGGGTTTAGGGATTTAGGGCTTAGGGTTTGGGGGTTTAGGGGTTTAGGGGTTCAGGGGTTTAGGGATTTAGGGCTTAGGGTTTAGGGGTTCAGGGGTTCAGGGGTTCAGGGGGTTAGGGATTTAGGGCTTAGGGTTTGGGGGTTTAGGGGTTCAGGGGTTTAGGGGTTTAGGGATTTAGGGCTTAGGGTTTAGGGGTTTAAGGGTCTACGGGATTGGGGGTTTAGGGTTTAGGATATTGGGGTTTAGGGGTGCGGAGGGTTATGGGGTTTAGGAGAGCTCTACACGAGGTGTCGATTTCAACAGTCCTTAGAATTACTCATAATCCGGGCGCCATATTAAACAACAGAGGAAAATAATTACACCAAATCGCTAATGAGTTCAGTGTTTAGGGGCTTCTTGTTTTCAGGGAACCGTCTCATTTTCCTGAATCTGTATGTCTGTAAACCCCGGGATCTGCTCACAGAGTCTGTTCAGAACGCGCGGAGCCTGTTCCAATCCTGACCCCCATGCTATCCCAGAAAATGTTGTACATGCTTCGTGCATGCATGCAAGTAAATGTACGTGTGTGTGTGTATATGCCCGGACGGAAGATATTATTTATGCGTGTACCGCATCTATGCAAGCATGTATGTATTGTTGCAGGTAGGGGAAAGGTTGGTATGTCGGTCGGTCTATGCGTGTGTGAGATAGTTTGTATGTGCAAGTGAAATCAGCTGCAAGAGAGTTACAACTACAACTTCAGAAGCTAAGCGTAGATATTTTGTGGCGGTAATACTTGGAATAGGGTTCTGGGGCCATGATGCTATATTTATAATAAGGAACCCCCAAAACAGTATCGGTAATTATTCAGGCGATCTATGTACTCCCCTTTGTGAATAGCTTTGAAGTCCTGGCCCGGTATGACTGACCCTTAGCAACCAGGCGAGTCACAGACGGAAGATGTAGATGAGGGTGTTGCTGACTAGATCCTGCAGCACTCTCTTGATCCCTCCCCCCTCAGACCTTAATGTAGGAACCTGATAAAGAAGCCTTGGGCCTTTGTTAGGGCTCTGTATGTGGATCCTACGATTTGGAGGTTTTTGGCCCCGGGTTTCTTAATCAGGCTCCTACCTTAAACCCCAAACCGTGCTCTTTGCTCTAAGGAGCCTACTATACTATCACTATTATAAGGCACCCCCACAATAGTATTTTAGGGCTTAGGGTCTAGGGTTTAGGGTGTAGGGTCTTGGGTTATCGGTAATTATTTAGGCCCCTTTAGTTTATGCTAAACCCCCACACTACCCCTTATAGTAATCCTTAAAGACCCCTTTGAAAGGACCCCTCATTATTTAGGCCCCTTGCTTCATCCCCAAACCGTGCTCTGTCTTTAATCTGAGGTGACACATCCATATGGGAGTCGGCCCGATCGGACGGCTTCAAGGCCCAAAGGGTCCTATGTACTGTTATGGGGTTTAGGGGTTTAGGGTTTAGGGTTTAGGGTTTAGGGTTTAGGGGGGATACGTCCTTAAGTCATAATAGTAATTCCTAACAAGGAAACCCTACATTCTACTATATCGGTACATAGGACCCTTTGGGAGGTGGGAAGATACAACTGCTCACATCTGTAAGGTACTGTAGGGGCCTTAACAATAAGACTAGGGTATTGGGGCCCATTATACTAAAGCTCTGTAACAAGCTATTAAGGCCCCTATATGCGCCAATACCATATCCCGAAGTAATTAGGCCCGTTCATGCACAGGCGCACAAGCAAGGTCTTAGTTTTGGCTGAAACAGCACCACGCACCAACCTTGGTGGATGGAATGACAGACAGCACGATCGCAACGATCATGAGGATGCCACCCGTGAACCTCGAAAGCTCTGCATACAGTGAGCTCAGAACATGGATTTCTCCTGCTGTTTTGGGATTCCCGGTCAGCCGACCATTTGCAGTGACGGACCAAAAAACCCTAAAACCCAAAAGCCCTAAAGGAACCGCAAAAGCCCTGAACGGATGTTGCTGGCCGAGGGCAAGTAGACGATCAGCAAGACGTTCTGCGCTGCCGTGTGGGAGCGGAAGAGGAAGGAGAGCCTTGTGATTCGACTTAAGGAATATACCTTAAATCACAGGGGGTTCTTGTTCTGATTTAAGGCATAGCCTTTAATTGTGGAAGTTTGGATTTGTTCTTTCTTTTTGCTATTATTTTTTGTTGTTTTGATTTCTATCGCTTATAATTACTGCGACTATCTTTTACTGTTGTCACTATTGTTCGTACCCCTTTGCAGGATCCCCTTATATAATGGAACCCTTAAAGGATCCTTAGGATCCTTTAGGGGTGTCTCTGCATATTTGCTCCGAATAAGGGCCGCGACAAGGGCTCTACTTAGCCTCTAGGGTTTAGGGTTTAGGGTTTAGGGGTTTGTTTTTGAACTCCTTGAATACATGGCCTGAAGGTCACGAGAAGCAGAAAACGCCAGGACAGCTAGAGCTACTTTCGCTCAAGTCGGGGAAAACACGCTTAGTGTTCATATTGGAGAAGAAGCCCTAAACCCTAAACTGCTAAAGCCCAGAACCCTTAAGCCCCAAAGCCCCGAAGCCCTTAACCAATAAACCCCGAAGCCCTTTGGGAGGCCTTGGGTTCAGAGCCTTCGTCTGTGGGCAAGGCGAAGGGTTCCTTCTTTAAGGACTACTACCTAGACCTTCCAAAATCGCTTAATCCAGGCATCTACTGCAAATTATTTTGGCGACTCTTATCCTGATTTAAGGCATAGTCTTTAATTAAGGGGTTTGGGGGGGACCACTGGTTCAAGGGTTGCTTGTAAGGAGTACAGTCGTATACTATAAGGGTAATTCCCAGACATGTTTGGGGTTTAGGTTGGATACTGCCCCCACTCAGTAACAGTTGGATAATATTCATAATATAGATATATTAGGCCCTTAATAGTAGCCCTATTATAGACTGTTACTGTATGGGGGCAGTATCCAAGGTTTAGGGTTAAAGTCCGTTGGCTACGAACTTCGAAGTTCTGTGTGGTTTACAGAAGAAGCCAGAAGGGTGGAACATGGCTTTAGGAGGATTAGTGCTAGGATCCCTTATACTTTACCTTAAGGGCATGAGGACAATGATGTTCCAACTTTCTGGCTTCTACTATAGGGTTTAGAGTTTAAACTGATTGGGCATCGGGCTGCAGATTCAGAGAACCGGATTAGGAGTACAGTAAACCCCATAAAGTTGGAAACCGGATTAAGGCCAAATAGTGCTGGGATTCCCTATACATTACTCTTAAGGGTTGAGGCTACAGGGTTTCCAACTTTAGGCTTCTACTGTAGGATGAAGGTGGTGTTGAGCTGCTGTTCGGGTTGCGAGTGCATCGTCCACATGCCGGTAGCAAGAAGCCTTACACTCTGAATGCCCTTCTGATACTTAGAGGATCAGAGGACTGGACTTAGTAGCTAGGGATCCTTAGAGGGATCCTTAAAGGGATCTGCAGGGTCGAATTCGAGGTATGATTAAGGTTGTTATAGTTATAAATACTTATAACTCCAATTAAGCTAATTATAACCTTACTTACTAAGCCCCATGATCCTCCAAGTAGGGACCCAAACAAGCACCTGAACAAAAACCACAAGGTCTGGATACCCAAGAACCCCTCTTTAGTAAAGAGGGGAATTGGACAATGCAATATTGTAGGGATATGCCACCCAAGACTTTTGCTTTTTTGGTTAAAAACCTGATTCAGAAACAGTGGGTCTGTACTCGATTCTTGATTTGGATCCTAATACGTATGCTGGTTTTCAAGGACCAGGGTTTCTGAATCAGGCCCATACATTAAACCCTAAACCTGAAAAGAAGACACCGAGCCCTGGGCCATCTGTTCCTTTGAAGACAAAGCAATCATACAGGGTTCTTAATTCTTAATAGTCAGAATAGGGTCACAAGGTGTTTGGATATAGTATACTAAAGGTGTAACAAGGGGCCCTGGGGAAGACTATCAAAATTGCTGATTCAGGCTTCTAAATCAAAAAGGACTCCCTTATAAGGAACCTAGGACTACAGACGGGGACAAAGGGCCCACTGGGAGGCCTAGAAATTAGTTCGGCCCAGTGGCATGTAGGTGAAGATACTATACCGGTGAAGATACTATAAGTATAGTATCATGGGCCCCAAAGCCCATTTTTAACTATGAAGGCCCCTAAATCATTCAGGCTTCTAAAGAAGTTCGGCCCAGTGGCATGTAGGTGAAGGAGGTGCAGCAGACACCATACAACAACACCTCGGCCAGACTGGAAGTGAAAAAAAACCTCAAAACCGATGATGCTCAATTAAACTAGGGATGATGATATAAACCCTGCATTACCCATAATAAAAAATGTACCATAATTCCCGTAGTTTTAGGGTCCTTAAGGTGATGCAGGATTTATATCATCAACCGTCGGGTTGATGATATAAACCCTTGTTTTTGGTCTTTATAATAAGGATCCTACTATTCAGGGTACTATGCCCGGATTTCTTAATCAGGCAGTCCGGCGGTCGATCTCAACAGTCCCGAACATTAATCATAATGTGGGCTGTATAATCAACAATAAACTAGAAATTACACCAAAAGATTACCCAGTATGATACGAACCCCATATTATAGGTATCCTACTATTTAGGGTACTATATTGGGGTCCCCTATTTTCGGAAACCCCCATGTAGGAACATTAGGGTTCCTTAAAGGGGTCTATAAGGGTTACTAGCATCTATAAGGGCACTGTAATAATGCAGGAACCTGATTGAGAACTCTTGGGCCTTTATTTTTGTTCTGTATATGAATCCTTTGGTGGTTAAAGGCCCAGGGTTTCTTAATCAGGTTCCTACATTCACCAAGGCAGCATGGCCGAAACATGCCCGAAACCTCAAAGCCTAAGATGGCTCGTTGCGCCCACCCCTGAACCCTAAACCCTGGCCCAATGCCGCGACGATCCGAATCACGGAAAGACACAAACACGGCTGAGCCGCACAAAGGGCCGTCCATGGGAGTACTTCCGCACTAACCAACCTGCAGCAAAGGGAAGCGGGTTTGGGGCTGAGAGCTTCGGGTTCAGGGTTTCGGGGTGCGGGTCTCGGGTGTAGGGTCCAGGGCGTAGGGTTTAGGAGCGTTTCTAAGCGTGTGGCACTTCCACTAGGTACCCCAGTGGCACCTTGATGACAAGGGTGCCCCTTCTCTAATAAGTTGCACAAACGAGGCCCTGAAGAGAGAAGGCAAACGGTACTACTGGGGAACCCAGCCTATTAATCTTCGTCAGGGCCGCTGCTATGCAGGCATGGCTTCGCTATGCACACCCACGGTTTAGGGTTTAGGGAGTAGGATCTAGGGTCTGGGGTGGTTCATGTCTGCACAACCATTACTTCAAGATGCTTTGGCCTGCTATCGCCTAGTTTTATGCGGCTACTTAGAGGATCATGGGACTTAGTAAGTAGGCTAAGACTGGGTTTATAAGTCCCCTAAGTGGGGTTATCCTAATTATAACCTACTTATAACCATACTTGCTAAGTCCCATGAGCCTTCAAGTACTCACCGTATGATAAACGTTCAACAGTATCCATGGGCAACATGGGAATATTGGAACACCGGGTCGGCGATAGTATACTGATATATGGGCTATCAGGTGGTATTGTAACACTGTGACTGCTGTAGTACACTTCTGGAGGGACTCTGAAAGCATATTCCCTCTCCTAAACCTGATATTCTCACCCAAACCCCTAAACCCCGAAACCTCTGAACCCCAAACCCTAGACATTAAACCTGAAACCCTAAACCTTCAACCCTGAACCTGAAGTAAGCCCTGTACCGTAAACCTTCAAGTACTATTACTAACACGATTACTCTTCGTATTACTAGTACTATTACCATTACTATCATTACAACTAGGGCCCCTGGAGCCCCAGGTGCGAGTTGACCCCGAAGAGGGCGATTAGCACGATGGAGGCCACGGCCGCCACCATGTAGTTCAGGACATCCTGATCTGAGGGTTTGGGGTTGTGGGTTCGGGTTCATGGCATGTTTCCGGGTTTTGGGACTGAAGGCTGTAGTTAGGAGGTTGGGGGTTGAGGGCTTATGGGCTTTGGGCTTCGGGGTGCAGGGTCTTGGAGGTTAGGGTTTTGCGGTTTAGCCAAGAACAGCTCTGCTCTCGCTCTCTCTGTCTCTCGCTCTCGCTCTCGCTCTCGCTCTCGCTCTCGCTCTCGCTCTCGCTCTCTCTCTCTCTCTCTCTCTCTCTCTCTCTCTCTCTCTCTCTCTCTCTCTCTCTCTCTCTCTCTCTCTCTCTCTCTCTCTCTCTCTCTCTCTCTCTCTCTCTCTCTCTCTCTCTCTCTCTCTCTCTCTCGCTCGCTCTCGCTCTCGCTCTCTCTCTCTCTCTCTCTCTCTCTCTCTCTCTCTCTCTCTCTCTCTCTCTCTCTCTCTCTCTCTCTCTCTCTCTCTCTCTCTCTCTCTCTCTCTCTCTCTCTCTCTCTCTCTCTCTCTCTCTCTCTCTCTTTCCTTCTATCATGAGGCTGTTTGAATTGAAGGTCCAAACACCCGGAGGTTTAATATGGGTAACGCGGAAAAGGTCAGTATACTCAGAAGTCGATGCTGCCTCCTTGACCGAACTGGTCGGAAGGCCACGGGGACTGCATTCGGGTTGGTGGTTTCAGGCTAAGGGTTGGTTTAGGGTTCAGGGGGCTTGGGTTCAAGGTTTAGGGCAGTTTAGGGATTAGGGCTTAGGGTTCAGGGTTTAGGGTTCGAGGTCTTGGGTTTATGGTTCTGGACCTTTTGATTCAAAGGCCTTCGGAAAGAAAGAGACACAGACACCCACACCACGTTTCTCGCTGTCACAATACGCCCAAGTCCTACTTTTGCACTCATAGTTGCTGAGTTCACAAAAGTGTACACTTTTAGTTTTATGGTGGGTAACATTATCCGATCCCAAAAAGTGTAAAGTGCACCCACTCAGCTACTAAGAAATGGGATAGCCTTCGGAATCTGAATGATCTGTCACCATCCGGTATCTGCTGGTCACGAGGCCCGATACCCCGCATATCTACGCATGGCCTCAGCTTGTCCATAAATCCTTCTCCCTAAACCCTACACCCTGAACCCTGTAGATGAAGACAGAGAGCCCAAATCCATGTCGAGGTCCAGTAAGAAATGAAGTTGACGCCGCTGATCACCTCAGGGACTAGGCACTTGGGGGTTTAGGGTTTAGGGCTTATAAGGGAACCTGAACCCTACAAAAAGGGAATAAGGGCCTACTCTAGGTCCTAGGGGAGCGAACTCCGCCCTCCCTGCCATGACACAGGGGTTTCCCGTTCCTAGGCCCCTGGGAGGATCGCAAATGTGGATCCCTTAAAAGGAGGCTCCGATAAACTACCCTTTGGTGGTAAGTAGTATAGGTGGTGCCAGGTTTGGGGATCTACTTTAAAAATCTCCGGGTGTCTGCGTTTAGGCTTCAGGCGTTCGCATTGAGGGTCTGGGGTGTAGGGTTCACGAATAGGAGTGGAAGAGGCTGCCATGCGTACGCTAAAACACTAGAAACCCGAACTCGCAGTCAGGGTTTGGGGTTTAATTTGAACCAAAGTTTGGGTTTTGGGTTTGGGGTCTGCAGTTTAGGAGAAAGGTCTGGAGTGGAGTTCTCATCTTCAGAGAGCAATGACAGGAAACCAGCTCGAGCACAAACGCCCACGAGGCCAATCTGAAATTGAAAGACCATGAAGGCTCCAGGCTGGGAGCACTAAACATCCAAGACCACATTCTGATTGCAAAGTTCTCTATGTCCCTAGGCCCCACTCGGACCCCAAAAAGTATACAGAATACGGACCTTTTTTAGGTTCTGGGCCATTTTATTCTACCTACCTTTGGGGGTTCCGGTCGACCATAAAAAAAGCAGCCATCCTTTTCAAAGTCTGGCACTCAACATAGCACCCGGACCCTACAACAGCAGCCTGCAGGTGCTTGCTGCCGGTCTCCCGCTCCAGCACGATGAACCTAGGTCGGAGCATGTACTATAGGCGCCGTAGTATTTAGAATAGGGTATAGGGTTCCTTTAATTAAACGGGTTACTATAAGGGGTCTATAATAAGGGTTATAGGGTTTTGGGGCATCGTCAAAACAAGGAACCACAGGAATAGTATAAGTAGGCCTCTATGCGTTCATTGAAAGCTGCTTTGTTTTAGGAGGGCGTATTGAACTAGACGATAGTTGCTATATGATACTACACTGAAACGCCTGACGTACAGCCATGTACCAGTATGCTGATTTGGTCATGATGCTGCCGAGTGTATTGCATCATCGTGTTGTTGTAGACGACCATCTCACCACATTCTCCAGCCATGCCCCCTCAAAGCCTGAACCAGTGCAAAACTCAACCCCAAATCCTGAAGCCCGTAACCCCAAAACCCTGCACCGAAGCCGCAGCCCTAACCCCAAACTCCAAATACCCTCAACACGACGTCCCCAAAACCTGGAATCGGGGCCCGGACGCGCCGACGGAGGCCGGGATGAAAGCGAAACCCAGTGCCAGGTTCCTTGTGGGTAGTTGTCAAAATTAAGGTCCCTTTTTGGATCTCTAGTATAATACGGCACCTATTACTTAGGGTACCCGAAATGGGACCTTAATTTACTGCCCTTGTGGCTGAGGTAGTGGCAACAGTACCCGAAGGGTCCTGGGGTACTGTTACGGGGGGTACTTCCCTAAACCATAATCGCAATGTAGAAACACCCTACATTCTACTAATATAGGTACTCTGGATCCTTTGGGGTAACAAGTCGCCCTCGTAGTAGTTTCGTCAACGTCGTAGTACTACTCGTCGTCGTATTATCGGGTTTTGGGGGTTCGAGATTGATTACAGGATCAAGGATTTGGGCTTCTAGGTTCGGGATTAGCATTTTGGGTGTCGAGTTTTGGGAACTTATGTGGTTTAGGGCTTGAGACTTTGTCGGGAGGGTTTCGATTTATGTAGGGTTTTGGGCATTGGGGTCATGCAGGATTTTAAGGCTTTCTGGGCCCCAGTTGATGATATAAGTGTCTGGGTAACGACTTTAGTGCGTAGGGTTTCGGGCTTTGGCATCAGAGTCTAGCGTTTAGGGTTTGAAGCTTTCTTTGACCCCCCAACTGCCCTCCAAGATATCCTAAGTACCCACTATTAAGGACCATGAGGGCTCCATTGAAGGGCCATAGGGGGGTCCTAGTTTGATTGTAGGTTGTAGCTTCAAAGGTCTAGGTGCGTGGTCGGATGTGCCCTTTGTTTGCGGACCCTTTGAAAGTCATTTAATGCTGGAATCCTTCTACTTCTAGAATAGTGGGACCGTTCTGAGCTCCGTCTGATGCTCTAGCAGCAAGCATACAATCTCTTGCGTCGACAGATTTCCGAGTCCCGGGCAAGCTTGTCTGCGTGTTGGTGAGGTCTTTCTGCCCGCTCGTGAGAGGAAACGGCTGGTTGCTGACCTGGATCTTCGAGTCCTCGCACCGTGGAGGCTCATAGTCGAGGGACTGAAGGCGACTTGGCACTGGGGGTTTAGTGTTTCCAACACGAGTTAAGGTTTCGGTTTTGGTGTTTACGGCTACGGCTGGGTGCTGTTCTAGCCTTTGATGCGAACATGATGCTGCTCTAGAAAAGACATACACTCAGATTTCCACGCTCTCGGAAGCCAAGTCCCAAATCTGAACTGCCCCCCCTCAATGTCACCTTCAACACGCCGGCGCCGAGCGTTCTTCGCAAGACCGTTTCGTGCAACTGCTGGTAGAACCTCGGATGATGCACTTGGACTTGGACGGGGAGGCCGAGTAGTTTTCGTCTCGTGTGCTACGGGTTCGGTGCTTTGCGGTGTTTTGTGTGTGAGGGTCTTGGTGCTTCTAGGGTGTGTGGAAGTTGTGGCTTGAGAGTTTGGGGCTCAGATTTCGGGTTTCGGGTTTTAGGGTTTCGGGCAGGGTCGGGGTTTAGAAACCTCCCGCGCAGTCTGACGAGTCTCGCCCTTCCTAGACCCCGTAATACACCCCAAATACCCACTATTCAGGGCCACAGGACTCTGTTCAAGGGGTGTTGCGGGGGTTCTGGTTAAGCCCAAACCCTAAACCCCCAAACTAGACAACTGATTCAACCCCTCCCTGTTTCGAAGATCGGATCGCGCTTCTCGCATCATGGCATTAGTTGATTGAAGACTTACATTAAGAAATCACATTAGGGAACTCTGAAAAGGTTTGGGGTCCAGGTAAGCCCTAAACCTGCCTCGTTCGACGAAAGAATCCGAGGCACATGGGCAGTGCGTCCCTGACTGTGGAGTTCCAGAACAAATCCACCTGGAGGCGATTGTTCCTGAGTGATGGGAGGCCAAAACGGGGGTTTTAAGACTCTTGGGGTAGGGATTCCTTAATATGAACCCTATTGCGGTAACCCTAATCCCTACTAAAACCCCATAGGCTAACACCCCTTTCGGTCTCCTATGACTGAGCTCCGGCTTAGGGTTTAAGGTTTAGGGCATCGCTGCGGTGTAAGACCCTGGGTTGAGGTTTTGCGCGAGGGTTGAGGGGCTTTGGATTTAAGATGTTCAGGTGTCGAGTTTCGAAGTGTTTTACCTGCTCGCGAGACGAGCACCAAAAAAAAGACCATTGCGGAAGTTAGTTCCCTAAACCGTAGGCCCTACTCCCTAAACCCTAATCACTATACCCTAAACCCTACCTTAACCCTGAAGAACCTACCTTTTTGAGGACTTATATAAGGACATCACAATAGGGAACCCCAAAACGGTAGGTTCTTCGGGGTTAAGGTAAACCCTACACCCCCAACCCAACCCCTGTTGGACAAAGCCAAGGCTCAGCTGGCCCAAGGGAACGGAGGTGCCGCCGGGAACCGAGGCCTCTGCAAGCATCTTCTGTTGCCAAGAGGGTGGTTGTCAAAATTCTGGTCCCTTCTTGGGTCCCAAGTACAGTACGGCACCTAATTTCTATTTAGGGGATCCAAAAAGGGACCCTAATTTTGACAACTACCTGAGAAGGGGATGAAAGGTCCGCTTGGGGATTAGGTGTAGGGTTGCAGGGTGTATGACTTCAGCTTTTTAGGGTGGATGGCTTCAGGGTGTTGGGTTTTAGGGTGTAGGTGCAGTGCTTTAGGGTGTTGGGTTTCAGGGTGTCGGGTCTTACGGTGCAGGTATAGCGTTCAAGTTTGGGGTGCAGGGTTCATGATTTAGGGCTTGATGGGGACGAATGCTGCAGTGCACAGTGCACAAGCCGTTACAGCTTTGAGGCTGCAGTGGCCAAGAAGAACCCAAACCCAAAATCGTGAAATCTAACCATGACCCAGATATCTAGGGCGAATCTAGGGTGGCTTCACACGAGCTCCTTGCTCGTCTGCAGACCACTAGGATGAATTCGACTAGAGGCAAGTGGATGGGCATGTTCCATGTCGTCAGCTCTCCTGCTCACACAACTTCAGCAACCGACTGCGTCCTCTTCCTGGCCTCCTCCCCCCAAAGAGTTCCGACGGGGACAGTGAGCGACCTCCAGCACAGAAGCTTCGCAAAGAAGGTGTAAAAGTGCTAAATAGGGCCTTGAATTATCAGAATAGGGTTTTGGGATGTATGTGTAAAAAATATGTGTGTGTATATATATATATATATGTGTGTATCTGCTATGCACACACACACACACACACTCTTTATTAAATATGTAGGGACTGTAGGGAAAGCTACTTCTCAGCATTCCGGCCCCAATTTTGCTTCCACTACATCCCCCCCTCCCCACGCTGAGGCACGTTGGTCCGGTGACTTTGCCAGGCTCGCTGAAGCCGGCCACTGTGTACCCTCCAACCTCAGTCATAAGATTCGAAGTCGTGCGCTTTAACTTAGGTTTAGGGCTTAGAGTTTAGGCTTTAAGTTAGGGCTTAGTGTATGCTGCCAGAAAGTTAGACAGAGATCGATTTTTCCGTGGTCCGGTACTCTGTGCATGCATCAACGGCAACCTTCCAGCGCACCGTAATGGCAAGCACACCCCATTCCCCCTGGACGGTGAGCCCCTAAACCCTTAAGATGGCATAATAGGCTCCAAAACTCAAAACCCTATTCTGATTATTGAAGCTCTTATCCTATAGAACCCCATTATAGATCCCTTAAAGGAATTCTACGAATTTAGCAGTAACCCCCCTTCCAGAATGCTTCCATAGCCAAGGCTGGAGCAGTCTTCGTCGCGTTCGGCTGAGTCCAATCCTGGCTCTCATGGGCTGGGTGTACGATTCTAAGTTGCGGTTTTGGTGGATTTTCGGATTCCTCTACAGGGATCTATAGATTGGGCTGGGTATACACTAAACCCCATAAACTTGGAAACTGGATTAAGGCCAAATAGTGCTGGGATTCCCTATACACTACTCGAAAGGATGGAGGCTCTGGGGTTACCAACTTTTGGGCTTCTACAGTACGATTCTAGGTTGGGCTCGGGGGATTTTCGGGTTCCTTTAAAGGGATCTATAGGGGTTCCTTTAAGGGATCTTTCATAGCGTTTAGGGTTTAAGGATTTAGGGGCTTAGGGTTTAGGGCTTGGGGCGTCTAGGGTTTAAGGGTTTAGGGTTGAGGGGTTTAGGGGCACACGATTCAGACTTAACGAGAGCAACCTGAACCCTCACTTAAGGGATCTATTTTCTGGATCCTCCCAGGAGTCCACTATACCCTAAACCCTAAACACCGAAACCCTAAACACCTAAATCCCTTAACCTAAACACCCAAATCCTCCACCCTAACCACCTAAACCCTAAACCCTGAAACCCTGCACTTGAAGGGATCTGAGAGCAAGGCGCGGAAACCCTAAACCCTATGAAAGATCCCTTAAAGGAACCCCTCTAGGTCCCGTTAAAGGAACCCTATAAACCCCCGAGGCCCCCAATAGAATCGTACACCCGGCCCATGAGAGCTGAGAGCAAGGCAGGGACGTTGACGAAACGAAGGGCGGCCCAGCGTTCTGTGCCGTTCTTGCGGTAGTAGCCTGGGGAACGGCCGTCGAGCATAGTATAGATTAGTAGTAGTATTGCTATTCATATTAGTATTGGTATTAGTATTGGTATTAGTATTGGTATAAGTATATATTGGTATTGGTATTAGTATGAGTATTAATATGAGTGTTAGTATCAGTATCAGTACCAGTATTAGTATTAGTATCATGATCAGGATTACTATGAGTACTAGCATCATCATCATCATCATCAGCATCAGTATTAGTATTCATATGATGCACACATAGTATAATGATCCAAACATGCCAGGATACAATCACAAAGGGGGGGAGGCTTTCTAAACAGTAGCACCATAAGCCGTAATTCAAGAAGGCGTGTCGGTGTTAGGGCGCTTTGGCATTCGATTAGGGTTTGGAGGACATGGAGTTCATGATCCGACCAGGTGTGTCAATTCGAGTCTCGCATTCTAGAATACCCAGTACCCTAAGAATAAAAAGGCCTCTCTTTTGGGTATTGGGTAACTTTATAAGGAACCTAGGACTACAAAAAGGGAATAAGGGTACTACTGGGCATCCTAGGTCAATTCGAGTCTCGCATTTTCTGCTTCCAGCACTGAACTGCCTGTACTGTACTGCTCGATGACCACAGCAAAACTTAAGAAGCACTTGCAAGAACAGCTTCGAGTCAATCGGAATAGGACTAGGAATCCCGGGAAAAAAAGGTCAGAAGCCAGGCTAGCCGGATCCTAGAGTGTGCATTAGAGGAACTAACTTCTCTGAGGGTTCCTTTAAAGGCATGTAACCTACAACCCTTCATTCAAGCAGGATTTCAAGCATGCTTTGGGGCGTGGATGCTTAGGTTTCCGGTCTGATTGGAAATCAAGACCATCTCGAGGACCCCCATGTTCGCAAGCACCACAACCACCACAGACGCGACACCGCTTTGCAAGAGGTCGCTGAAAGCCGTAGCGTTCATGGATGCTCCCACCTGACATGAACATGGTTGCGCGCATCGAGGCTATGATGTAGGGGCCTTGAGAATTAGAATAGGAGTTTGGGTCCCTGTAAACTATAAACTATAACTGTAACGAGGAGCCCCCAAAATAGTATTGGTAATTATTTAGGCCTTTTGCATGTGCATGGGTCGACATCGAAGGCACGCCAGCCGAAAAGCAGCTTTAACCAACAGGTCTCACCACCCATCTGCCCCTGGTGGGTTGTCATGGGCTTCCCCAAACCCGAAACCCTGACACCACAAAAACCTAAAGCCCTACAAAAATTGAACCCCCCCAAAAACCGCAAAACAAAAAAAAAAAAACCTAAAAAACAAGAAAAGCACCCGAAACCTTTGATACCTCAAACCCCAAAACCCTGCAGCTTTCAACAGCTCTTGTTCCGCAAGCGCCACCTTGAGGGACCTCAACATCTCGGCTCCACCGCTGCAAAGGGCCCCCAAAGAGACGTCGAAAAGTTTGGCGCAATGCTCAGGGCCCCCAAACCCCGTGTTTGTTTGGCAGTGGTGGAGGCTCCTGATGCATTCAACCCGATAAGAAGGCCCTCAGGCTCCGCCGTGAGAAGCTCAAAACCGAAGTGACAGGCTCTTGTCTCGCCATCAACTTGAGGCTGCAGTGCTCCACGGATGCTCTTAGTGTGTGCTCAGTCAAATGTAACCGGGATGTCGGGACAAAAGCAACTTCCTCCCTGAGGAGAAAGGTACAGCTGAAGCTGCAATGGCGAAAGAGAGGCCATCCAGGCACTCCCCATTAAATGTCTGCCATCCGGGTCGGAGCAACAGTGTCAACCTACCACGAACTGTGAAGCTGAAGAGCTTGCTGTAGTACTATAGGGGCCTTAATCTTAATAATAAGACGAGGGTCTGGGGGCCCATTGTACTATAGTTGTAAGAAAGCTTAAAGAATCCCCCAAAATAGTATAGGTAATTATTTTGGAACCTATAGTACCTGTGTCGGTGGCTCTGGCTTGAGCTAGATAGCGGTCCCACATGTCCGCTTGCAAGCAAGGCCTTCTGTACTCGAATTGCAATTGCTAAACCCTTCTGGTGCACTGACTTAATTATGACACATGCTTCGGTTGTCTTCTAGACTCAGAACAAGACCGTGCAAGAAGATGAATGTGGAATCAGATGGCAGGGAGAGATCCAGAACGTGCTGTAGGTAAGCCCGGTAAATAGGTACCCAGACAGCAGCACAAAATAGCACTCCTTAACTGGGAGGAGCTTCGCAAAACTTCGCTCATAAATAAACACGACAGAGGCTCTCGAAGCACTCTACTGAACGCGAGGCCAGAATAGGGTTCAGGCTTTGAGGTTGACGGTTTAGGGCTTTATCACTTTAGGGCTTAGGGCTTAAGATTGGTCGGATGGGCTGCATATTCTGGCCCCTGCGAATAAATACTGGCACGTCGTGTATGGAGCCAGTAACTCACAAGCATAATCGCCTAATAACCCTTTTACCCAGGTGGTACAAGGATGACCGGTGGCTTTTGCTGCAAAGCACAGCTGATTTGGAGCACACGAAAGCATGACTTAACCCTGCTACCTCCTCACCAAACCCAAGAAAGCAACTACGAAGAAGAGACACAGCTCTGACTGCGAAAGGGCTCCTAAGTGATGGATGTGTCCATCCTCCCATTCAGGAAGATCACCGACGAATGCTGCTCCGGTTTGGGGTCGAGGATCCAGGGGCTGGAGAGCTTCCTTCAAAGTTGCACTGGTATCAGCGTACCCAGATCTTCCAACATCCCTGAATCAAGCAATATATGCCTTAACTGATAATAGGATCCCTAATATGAGTTAGAGGGTATTTCTCAAGTAGGGTATACTGGAAGATCTGCGTAAGTTTGCCCTTCCCAAAGAAGCTGTCCCCCATCTCAGCCGACTTTGCGCCGTGATTGCTTCCAACTCATAGTGAATGCAAGGACTACCCTAAACCAAAAAAGGAAGAAGAGGCCACTGCTTGCTTTCAAAAGACCTGCTGCCAAGAGGAGTCGACTAAAAAACAGACGTGGGGCTCATTGTCGGGGCCTGATGTTGGGGCAATACTTATTAGAATAGGGCTTCATGAGTTCTAAAGGCTTCAATTTACCCCAAGCCGAATCGCTCGCCCGGCAAATCTCAGAAAGCGGCTGGCCCCAGAGTTACTCAGGAACTGATATATGAGAAGAGGCTTTCTGCACGGCCACCTCACGGAAATTTCTAAGGAACTGTATCCACACCTATAAAATCCTACTCTACGTTTCCGGACATTCCTGGTGGAGCAACTCGGAGTCAGTCGATTCCATCATGCAGGCGGTGAGACTCAAAGAGTAGTGCCGTCAGGAGGCTGCAGGAGACCAGGAAACGACGAGGAAGGAACCAAGATCAGCTGAGCATGGTCGACATGTCATGTGGCAGCCTGGTCACAGAGCCTGCAGCAACGGAGTTTAACCTGCCGACCAAGCCCTCGGATCGCGGCATTGACGACGGCTTAACTGAGGATTATGTTGGCCTGAAGCGACCCAAAGAAGCGAAAATTAGACAACCCTTCGGCTAAACTCGACGGCACTACTGTCGCAAGATGCAAGTGAAACTCGTGCAGCTCCACATCTAGACCCCAAAACTCTAAACCCTCAACCCTAAACCCCCAGACCCTAAACCCCTAAACCCTAAGGCCTCTAAACTCTAGACCTACTATAAGCCTCAAACCTAAAGCTGTGAAGCAGTCCATGCAAGCTTGAATCTCATGCTCTTGGATCGGACTTCAGCTGGAGGCCGAACGTGCTCAGGACGATTCTAGTAACCCGCGATTCTAACCATAACCAGTTCTTGAGGGCTCTTTAAAGGGATTTATGAGGGTTCCTTTAATTTAAGGGTTCTAAAGGGTTCTATAATCGGGGTTCGATAGTATTATAAGAACCTTGAAAGTCTCAAGAGTCGGCTCGCGGGATCATGTAGGAACCTGGATCAGAAACCCGGGCCCTAAAACCCCAATATATGAGGATTCATACAGAGAACCCCAATAAAGACCCGGGGTTTCTTGATCAGGTTCCTATCTTACCCATAATCACCCCTATAGCACCCCTTTTCATACCCTAGGTGGTTACGGACGATTAGAGTAATCCTGAAATGCAGTACTCCTCTACAAACCTATCCTTCACTATGGTACCTGCGCAATAACCCTTAACCCCGTTCATAAACCCTAAACCCAAAAACCCAAAAAGCCCTAACCCTAGAAGCCCCAAACCCTTACCGCAGAGTGACCCCTTTCGGTACCCCTAAACCCGCCTAATGTGGGAACCTGATTGAGAAACCCTGGGCATATAACCTCAAAATAGCAGGATTCATAAAAGGAGCTCTAATAAAGGATTCCTACACTAACCCTGACCCATGTCAGTACTCAAAGGCGGATGTCCGTATTTTTGGGTTCTTTAGACTTTGCCTTGGCGCAAGGGATTTAGGGCTTAGGGCTCTTAGGGGCGTTGGTGCTTAGGCTTGCTTGGGTTTAGGGTTCAAGAATTTTTGGGCAGAGTTCACTGAGCCTCGCTGGCCTCCCCCCAGCATTCAACGCCACGATCCACTAATCATGTTGGGGCCTTCGTGAGTCTTCAGGATCAGGTCTTGGGGTACATCATACGATAACTACAATGAGAAACCGTGGGGAAAATTAGTACTAGTCAATTAGGCCCCTACACTTGCAGCACCAGCAGCAGGATCCATCCCTCCGATCTCTACAAACTGACCCTAGGCTTGACTCAATCGGGCTACATCGTCGCTATTTTTTTGGGGGGGGGGGCACAAGCTTATTTGCGTCTCAGCAAACCGGTCGGCAAACTGAACGCACGTGGAGGGACGGGTCGACTATGCTGCGAGCTCATGCAACCAGTATTGCAACTACCTTCAATACTTGGGCAAGAAGGCCCGCAAGTCTTTGTCACGCTGCTTCTCACGCGTCCGCTTTGCCACTGCCGATGTCGGGTCACGAAAGGGCACCTTCTCGCCGAAACACCTGGCTTATCGGACTTGGAAAATGGGGAGCTCAAGTACAAACCCAGGATCCTTACTGCAATATTGGGGGCCTTAATAGTTTGAATAGGGTTTTGGGATATAGTAGAGTATAGATTCAGCTATACTAAGGAAGCCTAAGACAAAAATCATCAGCAAGTATTCAGGATTATATAGAAAGAACCTTCCTGATTTCAAGAAACTCCCGTTGTTATGTGTTCAGTATCCTGGAAGATCGCAAGAAGTTACATACGCTACCCCAAAACCCAAACACTAAACCCAAAAAAGGGTTAAAGCGCGATGTAAGAACCAAGAAGGTCATTCAGGTTTCCTACTCTGCCACTGAGTCATTTGGGAGTTTCCGAAAATTAGAGGTACCCTATTTTGGGGTCCTTATGATAAGGCTCCTACTATGTAAGGTACCGTATTAGGGACCCCTAATTTCGGAAACCCCCATTTCATCTTTGCGAGCGCGCCACCTGGCACGCTTGGACTCGATGATGCTGACCAGGCTCTCAGGTGATGCTTCAACTTCCTGGGAACTGGCTAAGCAGTGGCTTTGGGGGTTCCCTTGGCTCTTTAGCTCTTTATTTAATGGGGATTATCATCATCCCTGGCTCCTTAGCTCCTCCAATATCAATGGTTAGCTGGTCTTGGAAGGCTCTGAGGGTTCAGGGCAATTTAAATCTTTGGGCTTCCGGGTTTAGGGTTTGGGGTGCGGTTTTGGGCTTGTTTTTGGCTTACGGTTGAGGGATTACCCAAGAACCTTCGCTCCTCCGGACAGATAATTACCCTAAGCCCTGAACACGTAAAACTTAGACTTTAAACCTTGACCCCGAACCATAGCTCCGAGATGCTGAGCCCCTGAACCTTAAACCCGAGCCCCAGATCCCAACCGTACCTGCACCCTAAGGAACCTACCGTTTTAGGGTTCCCGAATCTGATTTCTTTATATCAGTCCTGAAAATCGGTAGGCTATTTGGGGGTTAAGGCAAACCCTAAACCTTGAATCTTAAAATCCTAAGCCCCCAACCCTGAATCTTAATTCCCAAGCCCCAAACCCGAAATCCTAGATCCCAAACCCTACGCCCTGAACCTGCGCACTGTGGAGTCTCGCGTCAAAGAGCCCCCAACCCCGACGCCAAGGCCGCCAGGGTTTAGAGTTTAGAGTTTAGGTCTTAGAGTTTAGAACTTTATATAAGTAGTTGTTGCCAAATTGGGGTCCCTTTTTAGGGGTACTTGAAGGGATCTAGAAAGGTTTCTGCAGGGTTTCCACAAGGGTACTATATGGGTAATTCTCGAAAGTAAGGTCCAAGAAATAGCACACGTATAAACACGACCATAAGGGGGACCCTACTTGAGAGAACTTGAACTACCCATAAAGCGCTTTCGTAGTAGTATCCCCAGAGAGCCCAATACCCCTTAACTAAGCAATATACCTTAAAATATAAGGGGCTTCATATTATGATTTAAGCTATATGCCTTAATTAAGGGATATTGGGCTCTCCGGGTCCCATGTAAGGCTAAGGGCTCCTAGAGGGACTTTACTTACAGGTCAGCGGGCTGAGGACTACTGCGTAAACGTATCCCCATAAAGTTCCTACATGGGGGGATACCATACTGGACCCCAAACCCTCTTCTAACTACCCCGAGGCTCCAAAACCCCTGAATCCGCGATAATTCACAGCAAATTCGTGAATTAGGGGTTGAGTTCAAGGTACCCCAAACCCTTGCAGCCCTAAACCCTAAACTAGGAGTCTCTGGGTTCTGCGTGCAGGGGTTGAGATCCGAGACCCAAAGTGTTCAAACCCCTTAAAGCCTTCAGAGGATTACGGACCCATTTCAGTATAAAGAAATAGGGACTAGAATGTGTATACGACTACGAACTGATTCATATCAGTATAAATATGTAAGCACTAGAAGGGGCATATCATTACGAGTTACTCCATTTCACCTTTGATATATATATATATATATATATATATAGGGACTAACTATAAGGGAATGCGATTGCGAACTAGTCCCGAACCCCTGAAGTCCTTCAAGAACTTCTCTATCTTGTGGACCTCGGATGCACTGCGAGCAGTCAGTGCCAAGAGGCGTCTCAAAAGGAGCCTAAAAGGGCTCTATACGGTTTCTAGTGAACGGATCAACAACGCTTCTATATGGAGAGGTTATAAGAGCTTTTTGGGGGGGTCGGAATACTAAGCGCTATAAGGGGATACTAGTAGTGACTTGGATGGGACCCCGGTGGGTACGTAAACTTCTGAGAGTCCGCATCCTGTAAGGGAGTTTGAGGTTTAGGGCTTAGGGACCAAAGGTATGGAGCTTAAGGAGTTTAGAGCTTAAGACATGGATTTTTCGTTCCTGAGCTCATAAGCCGAAAAACTGTAATTGTCAGTGCTATGGGGTATGATATGATCCCACAACGTGTAAAGTGTACCCGTTCACCTACTAAGTCCTGTAAATGCAACTGCCTCCGACTGTACTTATCAGCAGCGCTGATCATGTGCGAAGTCATGCGTTATCATGGTTAGTCTGCATGTCTGTCTGTCTCCCAGTCTCTCAATCTCTCAGTCTCCATGGTGCGGTAGCCATGAACGTACATGGGGGTTTCCGAAAATAGGGGACCCTAATATAGTACCCTAAATAGTAGGATCCTGATTATTATAACCCAAGAATAAGGTGCACCATATTTTCGGAAACTCCCACATGTAGGTAGGTAGGCCCTAAACCGCTGGAGAAGGTGCGTTGGGGTCGAGGAGGTCGCGCTCTGCTTGAGCTCGGGGAGCTTCCTGGAAGAGACCCGGGGGCCAGGGGTTAGAGTCTCAGGCTTAAGGCCTTTAGGGTTTTAGGGTTTTAGGGCTCCTTTAAAGGGATCTATAAGGGCTCCTTTAAGGGATCTATAATCGGGTTTTAGGGTTTAGGATTTAGGTTTTAGGATTTAGGGTTTTGGTTCTAGGTTTGGGATCCCTCTCATATTCATTATTGCATATTCCTTAACAAGGGCTTGTGGGAGTCACGGGCTTTCGGGCTAAAGGCTTCAGGGTTCTAGGGCTTTGGGTCTACAGTTATTATAGGATCCTTAAGGGGGGGTGGTTCAAGGGGGGAGGGTACTAGGGAGCTTTGGGGAACCTTAGGGAAGCTTAGGGAGTATTGGGGAATAATGGGGATTACTAGGTTGCCTACCCCCCTTGGACCACCCCCCCTTAAGGACATCCTAAAGTTAGGATCAAGGGGTAGTGAAACTCAAAATCAAGGTTGTAGGGCTTAGGGCTTCAGGGTTTGGGATATTCGGGCTGTTTCAGCTTTGGGCGCAGCGCTGTTGTGACTTTTGCAACCTAAACCCTGCGGGTACTCTTGAAGGGGCCACGTTGCTTAACGCGGGCTTTGAAGTAACCAGGGAGAGAAAAGTATAAACTTATATTTCATAATGGTTCCGTTCAGAAAAAGTATTAAAGTATGGTACTCAAAAGCCCGGTAAAGGAATCCCGGACCAAAACCTTAAGCCATTGTAGAACCCTTCAAGGATGCTGAGAAGAAACCCTTAAACCGAACCCCCTTAAAGCACCCCCTGAAAGGAATCCCAACCAGGAACCCTAAACCCTGAACCCTTATGGTACCCTTAAAGGCACCCCTTAACCCTAAACCCTTTAAGAATCCCGAGAACGAGTTCGCGGTTGGGATAATATTGACAGCTTTAATTTCTCTTCTTTTTGGGGTTTAAGTCATACCCACAACAATAAGACATGTTACCCAACTATGACAAAGCAGACCCCAAACGCTTACGAAACCCTTAACGGAACCCCTTAAACCCAGAGACCCCAAGACCCCTCAATTAAGGAATATAGCTTAAATCATAATATGAAGCCCCTTATACTTTAAGGTGTATTGCATAACTAAGGGGTATTGGGCTCTCCGTGTCTTCTGTCTGAAAGTCTGAGGAATTCGCCGGATTTTGGGACCTTCAGTTCATGTCGCAGCCTGGACAGCTAAGGGTCTCAATTAACGTGTTTAGGGTTTTGGGGAACCCGAACCCCGAACCGTGATTTTTTTGGTGGGCTTCGTGTCCCAGGGATTTCGGTGTTTTAAGGCCAGTGGGCTGAGGATCCTCGAGACCTTTAGGGCTTGTCCTCATACCCTTAAGGTGAAGTATAAGGGACCCTAGCACCAATCCTCCCAACTTTCTGGCGTCTACTATGCGGTTTAGTGTTTAGGATCCGCCCAGCAAAAATCTTGAGAATCGGGGCCTTAGGTGCGACACAAAGAGGACGAAGGCTTCGTTCGAAAGGGGTCCTTCTAGCCAAAGTAAAGCTCTGAGACATCCGTTTATATGCCAAGCTTGTTCTCATGATGGGACCCCGCTAGTCCATTCACAAGTCCTCCGCCGTCATCTGCCGCGACGTCTCTCTTGTCGGTGGTTTCACATCACCCATCCGGAACTCCCCCAGAGGCTCGGACCTGCAAAACACGGTGGCTCGGGGCTTTTGGGGCTTGTTTAGGGTCTAGGTTTTGCTACTCCAGGAATCTGACGGCAACTTGAGAGAGAACACGAAAGAAGAATGCGCGCGTCCACCTCTCGAACGAAGACGAAGGCGTCTTCTTCGCAATGGTGTCAGAAAGAAGCCTAACACTGGCTTCTTACTTATGAAGGAATCTACTTTAAGTTACCATAGTAGGGATCTATAGTAATTAATATGATTTCCCTGCTATGGTAACTTAAACTAAATCCCTTAACAAGAACCCGGTACAAAGCAAGGACGCTGGACAGCGGAGGCGACCTGGGGTTAACTTGGAGGGTCAGGGGACCTAGTAGGCAGTAAGCAGAAGTCATAAGCAGTTATAAGCACCCTAAAAGGGATCCTAGTTGTGGTTATGGTACGTGTAAGTCCATAAATTCACTACTTACTCAGACCGCCGACCCTCCAAACAGGGCTTAAGTAGCAGTACACAGCCCTGAGAGTGTGTTGGCATAGCCTCATCAAAGCTAGGATGCGACCGTTATACACATAAGACCTACACCCCTAAACCCCTAAGCCGCAAAAACCCAACGCCAGGCCAAAACCCAAAACCCCAAAACCCTGAAACTACCTGCAAAACTCCAAACCCTCAAACACACCTCCAAGGACTGACACTTAGGGGTTTAGGGGTCTAGGGGTTTAGAGGTTCAGGGGATTAGGAGTTTAAGGATTTAGGGGTTTCTGTAACCTGCTTCTTGACTTCGGGATAAGAGCAGACAAAGAAGCATCTGCACTTCAATCGGCTCGGAGTCTGCATTCGGTGCATTCTGGAAACCTCAGTAGAAGGGAGGAGCTGAAAAGAAAAAGGCCGTCTAGGCTTTCGGGTTTAGGGTACAGGATTTAGGGTTTAGCGTTTGGGGGTTTAAGGGTATAATGCAAGCTTGCACATGCAAGCATGCTCTTATCCCGAAGTCAAGAAAAAGGTTACAGAAACCACGAAATCCTTAAACTCCTAATCCCCTGAACCTCTAAACCCCTAGACCCCTAAACCCCTAAATCCCCAAATCCCAAAACCTTAAACCCCTAAACCCCTAAACCCCAAATCAAAAGATCGAGAAGCAGGTTACATGTGCACCGGTGCTCGGCGTCTCCATGCTCGCTTGGCACCCCATTGCAACGGGGATGGTCTTTGCAAAAGGCTCGGAAAGTTGGTGCAACTTTCGCGTGGCCTTGAGCCCTTTCTTCCACAGGGACGGACACTCGGGTCGTATACTCTATGGTACTATGCTACATTATAATAGCCAGAGTCCTACGTCGACCTGACATACCAAGGGGCATGACGGCAGGACGCACGCGAATCCTCTACCCCTCATTCCTGAGCCTTAAACCCAAAACCCCTAAACCCTAAACCCTTAAAACCCTAAACTCCTAAACCCCAAAACCCCCAAAACCCCCTAAATCCCTGAACCGGGCCATTCCTAAACCCTCAAACCGCCAACCTCGAAAGCCTGCTTAGAGGATCATGGGACTTAGTAAGTAAGGTGCCTTAAAGGGGTCACGTAATAGGGGTTCCTTAAAGGGATCTGTACGGTATAGGGTTTAGGGTTTACTGGGAGGATCATGAGACTTGGTAAGTATAAGTAGGTTACAACTAGGATAACCCCACTTACGGTATTTTAACCCTAAGTCTTTTGAATATCCCTTTTGAGGAACCCTTCAAGGAACCTACTTGCTAAGTGCCATGATCCTTTAAGTAGTCGTGCCTCTTCCACGTCCAGAGTGGCATCCTGGAGGAAGTCGGTGACCTGCCACCAGGAGGCCGCTTTCGGTTCCTTTAAGGGATCTATAGGGCTTCCGTTAAAGGGATCTACAGGGGTTCCTTCAAAGGGATCTACAGGGGTCACCGCAAAGGGATCTATAGGGGTTCCTTTAAGGGATCTATAGGGCTTCTTTTAAAGGGAGCTACAGGGAAAGGAGACGATCGTGGTCGAGAGCTGTAGCAGCGAGGACTCAAGGGGTGATTGATCGTCGAAACATGCATGGTCCAAGGATACCGCATTGGAAGACGTTCGAAAAGTTACAGTTCTGCAGGGTTCCGTATGGATAGAAGTATAGTACAAGATACCCACGAACCCTATTCTCAATCATCTCCACCGATCCGGAGCACCGGCGTGGGCAAATATTTAAGTTACCATAGGGATCCTTTACGGGATCTATAAGGGTTCCTTTAAGCGTTTAGGGTTTAACTTCAGTTACAATAATAGGGATCTATAGTAAATAATATGGGTTCTTTCTTATGGTAACTTAAGTTGAACCCTAAACCTCAAACCCTAGGCCCTAAACCCTAAACCTCAAACCCTAAACCCTACAAGAATCTTGCGGCCTGTGCGGCAGTGACGTCCTTCCCGCCCGCAGCCAGAAGGCGCTGGGGTCCCGGGAGCTCCGTGGCGAGGAGAGGCACTGCCTGGAAGATCATGGGACTTGCATAAATCCTGCATTACGTTAATGGCCCAAGACTGTGGGAATTATGGTATATTCCTTATTATGGGTAATGCAGGATTTATATCATCAACCGTAGTAAAGTGAGGATTAAGGGTTCCCAGAGAGCCCAATACCACTAAATTGAGAAATATAGCTTAAATCATGTTATGAAGCCCCTTATGATTTAAGGTATTTTGCTTAATTAAGGGGTATTGGGCGGTTAAAAATGTAGGGGTTTACCCTTTGAATAGTGGTAGGGTAGTGCCCCCATACCGTAACAGTCCATAATGGGGCTACTATAATGTAGGGCCTTGTCTGTCTATACTAAAAATATGATTCACCTGGTTCTGTATGGGAGCAGCAGCCATCACATAGAATTGCCTAAAGGGCTTTATGCGCCTTTTTCTTCTCATTAGGCAAAGTTGTTTTGCCTACGGCTCTAACTGAAAAGGTTACATAGAAAAAGACCCTACACGTCTCGGCGATAAATATGTACTATATATATATATATGTCTATATATAAATATATGAACCCATATATGAATATGCATATATGTATGTATGTATGTATGTATGTACGTAGGTGTATGATAAGTGTGTGTGTATATATATATACACACACAGACGCTCCTTTGTTGCCGTGGGCACGAACCCGACGTGCCTCGTAGTCTCCGATGCCAGCGAAGCGCATGGTCCTGCACTTTGAACCAACCAAGGAGAAGGGTTTAGGGTTGAGGGATCCTACAAGAGATCTCACAGTCTAAGCGATCCTATCGGGCTTGGAAGGGCTACTTTGAGCACAAACTTGTTGATGTAGGGGCCATAATAATCAGAATAGGGTTTTGGAGTATTTTACACTAAAATTGAAATAAGGAGCCCCCACAAATTTATAGGTAACTATCAAGCCCTCTAAACTCCTTCCCTACCCATAGGCTCCATAGTAACCTTATAGGCTTCTATTTACGAACCTCCAAAAAGGAACTACTATGGAGCCTATGGGAGGGCAACTATTAGCAGAAAAAAGCATGGCTTACGGCTAGGGTCATACTGGTTTAGGGTTTAGGATTTAGGACTTAGGGTCATAATGGTTGCTTTAAGGAGCAAGTCCCCAAACAACGCTCAAGTATGGCACATACTCCAGAAGCCTAAAGCCTAAACCCTACCCTTTACCCAGGGTCATGAGCGCCATGAGGAGGAAGATCAAGGGCAGGACGATCTGGCAACACCAGGCCTCTCGGTTATAGGGTTCTTTTGAAGGGAACTCTACGGGGTTTAGCTAACCAGTGGTTTTGGGGGTTCCCTTGGCTCTTTAGCTCTTTATTTAATGGGGATTATCATCATCCCTGGCTCCTTAGCTCCTCCAATATCAATGGTTAGTTAGGGTTTGGGGTTTATAAGGGTTCTGGGCCAGGCCTCTCGGCTACAGGGATATTTTTGCAATCGACCGTTTGTCTCTCGCTGTGCTCGAAGGAAAGCCAAGGCCAGACCGATGGCTATAGGGGTTTAGGGCTGTAGTGCTACTTTAGGATTTTTTTTTGGACTCCTTTTTCCTAGAGGCTACTACTTTAGGGTTTAGGGTTTGCGGTTGAGGGTTTAAACCCTAAACCCTAGCCCAGGCTTCAGGTTCAGTGTCTACGGGACAGACAGCGCAAGTCAGGCTCCCAGAGACTCCAAGGAAACTCAGACACCCCAAGACTCCTAATTAAGGCACAGGCCTTAAATCATTAATAGTACGTAATACCCAATACATTTAAGGCAATATTTCTTCACAAAGGGGTGCATTGGAGTCTCTGGGTTAAGATAGTGTAGAGGCCTTCATACTTAGTTAATTTGAGCAGGGTTTTGGGCTCCTTGATAGTATGCTTATGATAAGGAACCCTCAGGAATAGTGTTGGTACCTTAACCCCACGTGACCTACCTTTTTAAGGACTTATATAAAGAAATCATATTAGGGAACCCTAAAAATAAAAAGGTAGGTTCCTGAGGGTCCAGGTAATACTTATTAAGGCATCTGCGTTTCGGCATCTGTAGTATCTTCGGCCTTTCGATCTCTCCGCGCGTTGTGAAAGCGCTTGACGAGCCTCAGCTCAGGAGTCTGTAGAAGAGAAGGAGCCTTCTAGTAAAACCCATAAAGAATGGGCTATATACTGGGTATATAATATTAGCTATATTAAAGGCATATATCTAGGGGTCCTTATTATGGGTAACATGTAAAACGGCAGAGAAGAGAGGGAGCACGAGAGCCCTAAACCCTGAACCGTAAACCCCAACCTCTGGGTTGAAATTTCTAGCCCTTCCTTTATATATTTAAAGACAGAGGAAAGAGGTTTAACTTTTAACCCAGTTATCGGTTTAGAGAAAAAAGAGAAACGGCTTAGGGCTTAGGTTTTGGGGTTTTGGGGTTTTGGGGTGAATCTTATCAGGAGGGGTTTAAGGATTTAGGGGTTTAGGGTTTTGGGTTTAGGGATCTTGTGAGAGATCTCATAGATCATTGGGTTCTTGTAAGGGACCTCAGTGGGTTCTTTTAAAAGATCTACGTTGCGGTCTTATAGGGTTTCGTAGGGTTACTTTGAAGGTTTTATTCAGCTTCTTGCTGTTAAGGAGTATCAGGAGACATGCTCTTTACTACAGTTAGAACAGCCGGGAAGCCATATTCTTGTGCATAGATCCCTATTGTAGTAACTTAAACGAAACTCCTCAACAAGAGTCTAAGAGCCTGTCGAAGAGAAACAAACTGGAATAAGGCTTAAGGGTTCAAGGCTAAAGGTTTAGGGTTAAGGGTAGGGTTAAGGGTTTAAGGATTTAAGGGTTTAAGGCTGAGGTTTAGGGGTTCAAGGGTGTTTAGGGTTTGTGGGGTCTTACTCTCTCTTGCTTCGGGACAGCGTCTGGACAACAGAGCCTTCTGCGGGCTGTGCATAAATCTCTCTCTCTCTCTCTCCCTCTCTTGCGGTCGCCAGGCATCGCATGGACATGTCGTTGGAAGCTCACAGAAGGATCTGGCCTCCTGTCGCAAGGTAGCATGGAACCCTCAGTTGCATTGCCAAAACCCGGTTTCTGAAAAACTACACTGACTCTCAGAAAGTTGGAACATGGGTTTGCTAGAATCCCCTCTACTTTGCCTTAAGGGCAGGAGGATAATGATGCTCCAACTTTCGGGCTTCTACGTTAGAATAGGGTTTGAGTGCATAGTCTTCTATTTACAGCACAAAGAAACTTATGGAATACGGTCGTAATTATTCAGCTTAAACCCTACACCCTATAGGCCCAAATCCTAAACAGTAAGGCAAGTTTAGATGAATGGTTATGGTATCAGGAATCCCATGCAATGCTGTTGTTATTTATTCAGCCCGATGGGAAAGCGCATGGACAATTCTCTAGATTAGGTCCCTTTTTGTTTCCCCTACATCAAATGGCACTCGCATGGTGAGGACTCAAAACAAGGGACCCTAATTTAGACAACTAATCTGCCTTAATAACGTGAATAGGGTTTTGGGCCCATGAAACTAGAAATATATGAAATAATCCCCAGAATCGTACAAGTATTTTTTGCTTCGGCCCCTACCTTATAGTACCCTAATGGATCCCTTATAGTCTCCCTTAAAGGAGCCCTAAACTCCCTAAATTCCCTAAACTCCCTAAACCCTAAACTTAAATTCCCTAAACTCCCTAAACTCTAAACTCCCTAAATTCCCCAAAATCCCTAAAGTCTAAACTCCCTAAACCTTGCAAAGGAGCCCTTAAAAGGCCCCCTGAGGAGATCTGCCTCTCGGCCGTCAGCGGCGCCGCCATCGCAGAGCCGCCACTTGCCTGCTCCTGGCCGCAGGCTGCCCGGATGGCTACAGGCCCAGGGAGCCCGATACCCCTGAATTAAAGAATATAGCTGAAACCATAGTATGAAGCCCCTTATAATTTAAGGTATATTGCTTAACTAAGGGGTATGCCCGGAAGGCTACTTGGAGGGTCGGAGACTTAGTAACTGGTTATTTTATGGACTTAGAAGTACCATAACCCCAATTAGGGTCCCTTTTAGGGTTCTTAAAAGTCTACTTACTACCTACTTAGTCCCCTAAAGACCCTCCAAGTACAGGCCCAGGGAGCCCGATACCCCTTAATTAAGGAAGATACCTTAAATTGTAATAGGATCCCTATATGATTTAAGGCAAAATCCTTAATTAAGGGATATTGGGTTCTCTGGCTACTGATGGGAGGCCAAAAGGGGGGGGGGTTTCAGATTCTCGGGGTAGGGATTCCTTAAGATGAACCCTAGTGTGGTAACCCTAATCCCTACTAAACCGCCATAGGCTAAAAACCTCTTCTGGCCTCCTATGAGGCTACAGGCCCGGGGAGCCCGATACCCCTGAATCACAGGGACCCTTAGGGGGTAAGGGGTAGGAGGTTAAGTAGGCCTCGTAAACCCTCCCCCTACCCCCTTAAGATCCCCATGATTGAATTAAAGAAAAAAGATGCATAAATCACAAGATGAAAAACCCCTTTACAATGAAGACATATGTGAAGGCTGTTGGGTTTCTGGGGTGTTCAAGATCTGCGGTGTACTCGTGGCTCAGCCCTTAACCCTGGACTAAACCCTCAACCCTTAAACCCTTCAATTCAACCCTAAACCCTCCAGCCCTAAACTCATAAATCCTGCACCCACGGATCGTGTGCTTGGAAACCCAAAGCCTGACTTGCCTGACCCTTGAGCCCCAACCCGACAATCCGATCCTCCAAGATACGGTTGATGATATAAATCCTGCATTACCATACGGATCCTAATCTATGGAAACTATGGTATATTCCTTTTTACGGGTCATGCAGGATGAAAACCATCAACCGTGGTGTTAGCCCTTATAGTGCCCCACACAGTAGCCCCTGAGAATAATGCCATCGAATACACTCATAGTACTCCGTTCAAGCAATCCCTTATGCCCGTATAGAAACCCTAAACAAATCCTGAAGCCCTAAACCCCTAAGCCCTAAACCCTGAACCCTAAACCCTTAAGCCTCAAATCCTAAACCCCTAAACCCCTAAACCCCTAAACCCCAAACCCCTATGAACCCTGCTATAGATCCCTTAAAGGAACCTGGCCGTATCCCTTTAAAGGAACCCTCAACCCTAAACCCCTAAAATGCTAAATGGTAGTTTCTACAAATAGGGGACCCTAATAGTACCCTAAATATATAGCAGGCTCATGAGCATAAGAACACCAAAATCAGGCTTCCCACATTTTCGGAAACTGCCAAATCTAAGCAGTCAGGTCTCCTCGGTACGCTGCGTGAAGGAACCCAAAGCACGCTCTTCCTCAGAAACTTTGAAAGCTTACCTAGATCTAAGAGTAACCTATGAATAAAAAGGGTGCCCTTTATGGCTTAATGGGTGGTTTATAAGGGAACCTAAACCCTAAAAGGGGAATAAGGGCCTGCCCTGGGTCCTAGTTAGACTAGGTGTCGATATCAACAGGCCCCAGAAGTATTTCTAATTGGGACTCCGTATGAATCAAAACAAAGGAGATTGAAAATTACTCCAAATCGATACCTAGCAAAGGTCTGTAAACTCCAATAGAAGGGTGCAGTGTTTAGGGTGCGGGAGGTTAAGACTCTCAGGGATTGGGTCTAGGGCTTAGGGCTTAGGGGTTGGGTCAGGGGATTATGATTTCAGGTCAAGGGCCCCCTAAACCTCCCCAAGACTGCCGAAGACCGGCTTCTTGTGAAGCTTCGACCGGTTCAGGGTTTAGGGCATATTGTTTAGTGCGCCAGTCAGTGCAGCCGAAGAAGCCCTCTCGGCGGAGATCTGCCGCACGAAGCTGGCCTCCGGCACCCCAAACTCCGGACTTAGTAGGTAAGGCTATAAGTCAGTAATTATATAGCTCTATGTACCTTATGTGTAACACCAACTAGCAAGTCCCAATATAAGAAACCGTACTGAGAACCCGATTATAGAAACCGTACAGATCCCTTACAGGGAACTCTATCATAGATCCCCTAGATATAATTTCCTTGAAAGGAATGCTACCACGAATTCTTCAAACCGTTATACGATTTAGGAGAAAGGTGTACAGTATGACTCTAAAGTTTTTTTTGGGGGGTCGGGGGTTCAGGACTGTGGGAGTGTTTCGAGTTCCGGGATCGGATCGCAGCTTTGTTAGAAGGCGGACTGGCGAACTTTGCTCATGGATCTAGCTCTTTTTCGTCAGTGCCTTTTCTTTGAGCAGTTCCACATCCACTGGACGATCCCCAAAATCATACAAAAAATGCCGGGCCGGAATCTGACGCACCTACTATAGGGGCCTTTATCATGCTGGGTTTTGGGGGATCCTTATCTTAATTCTAGTTACTAGTTGTATAAAGTATCTCCAGACCCTAGTCTAATTATTAAGGCCCTTACATTATAGAACCATAGAACCTACCTACAGACCTACAGGTCCCTTATAGTAACCCGTATAGACCCTTTAAAACGAACCCCTATTCTAATTATTAAGGCCCCTACATTAGCCCGGAACAGATCAAGCCTGCTGCAAACGCTCGTCGGCCGCGATGTCCGCTTCCGTGTGATCTCGGCCCACGCGGAGGAAGACCTGCACCGCAGATCCGGATGCCCGACAAAGTCTCCCTAATTTTCTGCAAACCCCCGAGATGCAACCCCCTTGTAAAAAGCCCCATGAAGCCGCACAAACACCCCAACTTCTGCAAGAAGGATCAGAAACTGCAGGCCGAAAGGAAAGGCCGAAAGGAAAGGCTTTAAGCGAGCCGATTTATGATAGAAGTTGGCGTCAACCCTAAACCCTAAACCTTACACCCTCCCTAAACTCTAAACCCTAAACGCTAAACCGTAAAATCCTAAGCCCTAAACCCTGTTTAGGGCTTTCTGAGCCTCCTCCAGGGTCGTCACTGAGACGCCAAAGAGCTGAATTCCGTAGCCTGAAACCCGGCGATACAATTGATCTAACATAGGGGCCTTTGTTATTGTACCAAAAATTGTGATAGACAACCAAAAATGGGTGGTTGTCAAAATTATGGTCGATTTTTGGGACCCTATTTAGTACGGCACCTAGTATTTAGGGTACCCAAAAAGTGACCTTAATTTTGACAACCACCCAAATAGTATTTCTAGGAGATAAAGAGGGTCTATGCTCTTTAGGGTTTTCAGGGTACCCCAAACCCTCAAACCCTATACCCCAAACCCCTAAATGCACAAACCACCAGACCCTACACCCCAACACATCCCTGAATTCTAAAACCCTATAAGCCCTCAACCCCTATGAACCCCAAACCCAAGCCCTACAACCCTCAACCCCAAACCCCTAAACCCTAGATCCCTTAAAGGAACCCTAGATCCCTTAAAGGAACCCTACATCCCCTTAAAGGAACCCTAGATCCCTTAAAGGAACCCTAGATCCCCTTAAAGGAACCCTAGATCCCCTTAAAGGAACCCTAGATCCCCTTAAAGGAACCCTAGATCCCTTAAAGGAACCCTAGATCCCTTAAAGGAACCCTAGATCCCCTTAAAGGAACCCTAGATCCCTTAAAGGAACCCTAGATCCCTTAAAGGAACCCTAGATCCCCTTAAAGGAACCCTAGATCCCTTAAAGGAACCCTAGATCCCTTAAAGGAACCCTAGATCCCTTAAAGGAACCCTAGATCCCTTAAAGGAACCCTAGATCCCTTAAAGGAACCCTAGATCCCCTTAAAGGAACCCTAGATCCCTTAAAGGAACCCTAGATCCCTTAAAGGAACCCTAGATCCCTTAAAGGAACCCTAGATCCCCTTAAAGGAACCCTAGATCCCCTTAAAGGAACCCTAGATCCCCTTAAAGGAACCCTAGATCCCCTTAAAGGAACCCTAGATCCCCTTAAAGGAAGGCCCAAAAACCCCAAACCCCTCCCCCTTCGAGGGCCGAGGCTCTCTCGGGTCTCTGCTCGAGGCTTTCGAAAAGCTTGGGGAAGTTCCCACTTTCCTTCGACTAGGATACCCAGTAACCTATAAGGGATCTATAGGGCTCCTTAAAGGGGTCTATAAGGGATCTATAGTAGGGTTCTATAATATTGGGGGTTAGTATACTAGGATACCAAAAGGCCTCTCTTTTTGGGTATTCTGTAGCTTTATAAGGAACCTAGGACTACAAAAAGGGAATAAGGGTACTACTGGGCATCCTAGTCGACGGTAGACTGCACAGTTGGGTTTAGAGGGCTTAGGGGTTTAGGGGGGTTACGGTTGAGGGTTTCGGGTTTAGGAGGGCTTAGGGTTTAAGGCCTTGGATTTAGGGTTTAGGGTAATGGTTTGAGGGCTTACGGGTTTAGAGCTTCAGGGCTTAGTTTAAGAGTTTAAGGCTTTACGGTTTCAGGGCTTACTGGCGTACCTAGGCCCCCGCAAGTAGGTAAAACAATGGCCCAACACCTAACCTATACAAGGCTATAGATTCTGCATACGTTTGGGGTCCCGGTGGGTTTGGGGTAAAGGCCCAAAAAGAACCGACCTTTGCAAGGAATGGCATGTAGAAACCATAACAAGGAACCCTACAGTAGAAGCCCACAAGTTGGAAACCCCATAGCCTCAATCCTGAAGAGTAATGTATGTGGAATCCCAGCACTATTTGGCCTTAACCAGGTTTCCAACTTTATGGGGTTTACTATAAACAGGGTATGGTTTTCGGCTACAGCTTGGGCTGAAGGTAAGTGGCCGCTTTCGTGCGACGCTTGGGGGCGAGAGCTCCGCGTACCAGCAGGATCTGCTAGGGGGTTCGGAGGCTTTGGGTGTGGGGTTTAGGGTTCAGGGATAGGGTTTTAAGGGTTCTTCAAGGCTTCTTTGTATAGGGTTTTGTTGTTCCGTTACGGGCACATCTAGCCCATTCGGGTTATCGTCATCAAATAAGTTCGCCATGTCAAAGCCAGTTCAGAGTCACCGAAGCACAGCAAAGAACATGGGCTCACAACTCAGGTTGATTTTTCCGTCACAACAAGCAATGCTTGATCTAGCAACTGCGTACTCTGTACTGCACATGCTATCTGCGTGACATGCTGGCTTCTGCCGATCATGGCAGCTGCCAACTCTGGTCCTCCGGACCACCGCTAGCCAGAGGCTGCAGTTATGCATCGTTATCACTCACATCTAATTAAATCGAAAGACACATCTCAACACTCCTCCTTGAACTCTCGTCCCCTTTGGGGATGGAGTTCACCCTCTGTCACTCTGGGATGTGGCTTGCAAGCAGTACCGGCAGAACATCCTCTTATTTGTTCTAACACCCCTCAGAGCATGACAGTCGGGGAAGAGGTGAACAACTCCAGGAGTCCGACTACTGGAGGTTGTTAGCTCAATTTCACATAGTTGCTCATGGGTTAGACCGGTAAATTTACTGGTCTGTACTGCTACATCTCTGGTTCTCGGTGAGTCGATAGGTCTTTCAGCATGCATGGAAGGCCTTGAGTCGATTCCAAACTCAGGGTTCTGAGACCCACTGGGTGCTGAAAGAACTGAGATTGAAACTCCAGGGGCCAAAAATCCAGGGGCCAAGGGAGGCAACGGTGGAGGCGGCGGTGGAGGACACGAGCCTGCGCGATCGGTTGACCCTGCACCTGTGACTGCTGTCTGCCTTGCGTCGACATAAACCAACGGCCTTGATGCACCTGGGGTTTGAGGCTCCTCCTCAAGGCTGTTTGGTTCTGTTGATAACCTTCTTCTCAAACCCGGGACCTCTCGTTCTATGGCCCGCCTAATTGCATCCTGGCGCCTAGATCTTCTAGCTCTATCCGTTTCTTCTTCCTCAGCACGTACAGCCTGTACCTCGGCATTACTTGAACTACCTTGTGTTCGCAAACAGTACTTGCCTGCCTCCCAAACGAAGAGCACTGAGAACACTAACATCATCACGACTGCGCTCAGCTCTACGCTCAGAGGCTCTGACTCATCTTCAATCTCGACGCCCTTCGAACAGATGAGCTGACTCAAGAATGTCATCAGGGTCACTAACCTTCCTTGGCTAATCTGCACCTGACCCAGAGGGTGTGCCGACACCTGTACTTGACCTGTGACCTGTGATGGCACCTGTGTCTGCACCTGGCCTGTGACCTGTGATGGCACTTGTGTCTGCACCTGGCCTGTGACCTGTGATGGCACCTGTGTCTGCACCTGGCCTGTGACCTGTGATGGCACTTGTGTCTGCACCTGGCCTGTGACCTGTGATGGCACCTGTGTCTGCACCTGGCCTGTGACCTGTGATGGCACTTGTGTCTGCACCTGGCCTGTGACCTGTGATGGCACCTGTGTCTGCACCTGGCCTGTGACCTGTGATGGCACTTGTGTCTGCACCTGGCCTGTGACCTGTGATGGCACTTGTGCAGAAGCAACGCGCCCTACCGAGATTGACGGTCCTAGACCCACTAGTCCGCTAAGGTATTCGTGCCTAGGTCCAGGTAGTATTTTTGTAAGACCGTCCGCGAGCTGTATATCACCTGGGCAGTGTTCCACTTCTAATTCGTTCCGCTCTTGCAAGTCCTTTAGGTAGTTGCCCCTTACTCTCAAGTGTCGGGTCCTCGAGCTGCCGTTTCCCTCAGACAATGCAATTGCGGCCATATTGTCAACTCTTAAGAGCATGGTACTCAAGACGGGGGTAATCGTCCTCAGTAGTGCCTGTGTGCTTTGGCCCAAAACAGTACCTTCAACCGCTGAGATCAACTCGGACTCTGCCGTGCTCAGTGTGATCAACCCTTGTCTCTTTCCTTTCCACACTATCACGCGACCAAGGTACATAACCAGTACACCCGTCACCGACAAACCTCCATATGGAGCGAAGGATGCATCCGTATAGACGACTACTTTCCGCTCCAGGGACGTATTTGGAACAAGAGACAGCCTTCGTTCCTTTGTTGCTCCCACATATTGCAACAAACGAATGCCCAATTTCTGAACCAGCCTAGGGGTTCTTGTACTCCACGAGCTCATTAGGCCTACTGCGTAAGCCAGGTCTACCCTGGTCCTCTGTGTTATCCACAGTAGCTCTCCGGTTATCCTTTGAGCCTTTCTAAGGTCTTCAGAAGTGTACTCTTCCGGGTCTGGGAGCTCTTTTACCCAATCTCTTGGAAGAGGACTAACCTTCTTCATTGGAGCTAGGCCATATGCCCTTAAGAGTTCATCTATGTAACCCGGCTGGCCTAATTCAAATCCATTATTTCCATCATCATCTGTTGCTCTATGGATATCCACTCCAAGAAATGTCACTGGCTCCTCCTGGGTTGCCTCTTGCAAGGCAGTGCAAGACCACTGTGAAGTCACGTAGGCATGGAAAGCCACTGCATGCTCCTTGCTGGAAAGCATCAAGATATCATCCACATAGACCAACACAAAGCCATACAGCTCTCCGGATTCATTCCTGATTGTCCACAGGTTTGGCTCCAGATCACATTGTCTCAATGACATCCTTTGGCCTTGACATTGCCATGTGGCCTCCTGCAATACGCCGTCCCTGTAGTTGCCCCACCACTTGGGACTTTGTCTGAGTCCGTACATTGCCTTATCTATTGCCCAATATTCATCGGCGTTTACGATTCCCATGTCGCAGAGCACTCGCGGGGGCTTAAGGATTATACGAACCTTTTCGTGGGTAGGTATGGGGGCAAGGAGAAATGCGTTGCGTATGTCTGTGATAAACGCTCCGTAGTTCTTTGAACCTGCCTCGATCAAGGAGGCCCGAAGAACGTCAGCGGGAATACCTCCTGCATACACCTCTACACCTGCCTCACGGGTCTCGTAATTCCCGCATCCCACCACTCTACACTTTCTACGATACAGGGTCTCGGAGGTTCCTGGTTTCGCTGTGAATACGGCCTTCGCCGGGATCACCTGGGTGCCTGGAATGCCAAGCTCCTTGACTGCCTCTGCTCCTTGCAAACGCCTAATCGCGCCCATCTCAAGTAGTGCCTTAACCTCAGTTTGTGCGGCCTTACACCACTTATCCAGATTCTTCCTCACCTCACTCGGTGAGACATTGTGGACAACACGGAGGGAAGATGTCAATGATTCCAAAATTCCCTCTACATCCTTAGTGTAGGCGCTTTCATCAACCTTGGCAACCTCCGGTTCTGGCATCACACCTCCTTCGGCACTATACTTATGCGCAACCAGAGCACTAATGGGATCACTAGTTGGGACTCCAATGGTTTGACCACCGTCTACATCCAGGCCCGCCTGGCATTCAGTGGGCTCCACCACCTTGCATTCATAGTCCTCTGGGACCCGCGACACGGGTGACTCCTCCGAGTATACCGGTTCAACGTCCGCAGGGGTTACACCATCATCATCTGTGGCCACCTCTGGAGCACCCGCTAATGGATACATACTATTGAACATTGCGTTCTGGACGTAATAGTTAAATTCGTCTTCATCATCAGCATCCCATATGGCTTGGAGTCTCATAGACTCTGCTGCGTAGTTGTCCATTCTCCTTGGTTGCTGATGGCCTTCATTAGAACTGGATGAACCACTTGAGTTCTGCACACCCACAATTGATGGCTCAATAGGAAGCTCGGGACGTTGAGCTTTCCAGGGGAGGTCAGGGCTACTGCTGGCGGCATCGCGCTGTGGTGGCGGGTTCCTATCTGGCTCTAAACCGAAACCTTGCCCTTGCTCTATCTCTTCCCAATCTTCGTAGTAAGGGTCCGCTTCTTGGGGTCTACCACCCGTATTGATGCCTAAACCCCTTACTGGAGGATCCGGCGATTTTTCGAACAAGGTGCGGTTTTGCAGTGCCCAAGGGATCTGGCGGTGCTTTCTATCCAAAAGCCTGACCTCACCTGTTGTCAAGGAGCACAGCGATGGGTTATCCGGTCTCATAGTTCCTTGCGGGTGGATACCCCTCATAACCATCCGAGCTTCCTCAACCGGAATACCAACCTCGACTAGGTCTTCCACATACAAGTAGTACAGGTCTGCTGGGGACTCTACACCTATCGTAACTAGCCT